TCCACAAGAGTTACTGTCATTTGATGCCAACGACGAAGGGGTTTTCGTTTCCGCTTCCGGTGGACAATTCAGTTCCTCTGAATTCGCATTCACACTCGACGTATTTGTATTGGTAATGTTCAAATCCTGGTACAATGAGTTAGTCGCCGCTCTTCGCTGTGAATTTTTCTTGACGCTTTTCAAACTCTCATACAAGTTACTGCAATCATTTAGGTTGTGTGGCCTGGTATTTTCCACTATTGGCTGATATACCGCAGCACAGGGGCAAACGGCGTACGGAGAAGGGTCTAAATGATTGACAGTTCTCATTGGCATCAAAGAAAGGCTGTTGGTACGGCCTCGTTCGTACGTTGGATTTCCTATGACAGGAAAAAAAAATGATAAATCGTCGTACTTAAGGATCGATTTTTTCATGGAACTTTCAAGTGGGATGGGTTGGGGACTCCAAAAATACTGTAACAAAAAACGTTTTACTTTCTAAATATTTTTGTCCATGTCTTTAATAATATGTCGGGAGGAAAATACCTCTTTAAAATAAAAGGAAGAATCGAAGGCCGTTTTTTGGTCGACCAGAAAACGAAACTTAACCTAATATTTAATTCAATGATAATGCAAACATAAAAATAAGGTTTTTTACACACCTATGCTCTGCCTTCGTTTTGACGTTTTCCTGAAATCAGAGATATTAGAGCTAGTTAGTAACTAAAGGAAAATGGTTCAAGACCCTAACAAATACAAAGGTCTCAACTCTCAACCTCTACCTCGGGTACGACTTACATCTGGTACAACTTCGTTCTCAGGACTCTCGCCTACTCGTCCCCTGGGGACGAGGTTGCATAAGGTACAGTATGTGGTTGGCTGCAAAAGTCGCGCCATAAGTTAAACCAATCAGAATTCAAGCTGAAAGTGAATGACCTCATTGCGACTTGCCCGCAAAGATTTTCCCGCGCTTAGGCGCGGCTGTATGATTTTGCTTTGAGGTCTCACCCGTTTAGTATTGAAATGTCTACGGCCGTTGTGATGGGACAAAATCACTTAGCAAGTTAACAGAGAAAATGTTAAACGTTGGAAATACTCACCAAGCAGTCTTCAGAGACGGGCGACATTCATCACGCAACACCCAAAGAGTAATAACAACAATAACAATTAATATGACGCTGTAAAATACAACAAGAAGAACAGATGTCCAGCTATGTGGTTCGACGCTTTTGCTATAAGTTGCTGTTGTAGGAATTCGCAGTGTTGTAGTTAAAACACTCTTTGTCACTGTTGTATCTGACGAAGTGTTAGTGTAATCTTCTAAATGGCTGGTATAATTCCTTGTCGTATTAAATATTATATCTTCCCTTGGTTGAGTAAAGTTCATCTGATGTAATTTCAGTGACCCTAGAAGGAAAAAAGGAAAATTTAAGATTAAAATTAAGTAAACCAGTCTTGAAACGAACTTACGTACAAAGTGACCATATAAATGAAAGCTACTGAGCAGTACTTTACTGCGGTACTGTTTATTATGGTGCACAAAGTGGTTCTAACTTTTGAGTCCGTGGATGAAATCCTTAAGTGTGACCATTCAAATGAAATCTACTGAGCAGTGCTTTCCTGTGGTACTGTTTGTTATGCTGTACAACGTGGTTCTAACTTTTGAGTCTGTGGATGAAATCCTGAAGTGTGACCACTCAAATTAGAAAGCTATTGATACAAAACGCACATTATATGACATACGTTTTATAACCTAGAAAGACCGCTATACTTACATAAGTGGAAACCGTTGATCTTGAGGAGAAGACAGGTTTTCATCTCCTCAGGTGGTGGGTTGCCTCGAAGTCTTAGAAAATCCAGTTTCACCGTACAAGTTGCTTGCAGAGAAACGATAAACCCACTCCATCTTGAGTTATTTGAGCTCAACTACAGATGGAAATGAAAAACCATGTGTTTAAATCAAAAGCGTGTTCTGCGAATTCTTTACCCTTAACTTCATGATGTCCAAATTTTTCACAGAGTACTTAAATTGGTCACTTATTTGATCTCCGCTTAGGAGCAGCATGCGAAAGGTGTTTACAGTGTATACTCTATTAAAGTCATCCTTTATTACTCTTGAATTGAAAGCATATATAGGACCATTAGAGACACAGGGAGCCCATTCGCCCGCAGATTTATTAACCTGCATGTATCTAATGTGAAGGACAAAGAAGTATTTTAAATTCCTCCTTTTTATGGAATGTAACTCAATTACGGGTTCCTTTTTGAAGTGAAGTTGAAGTTGAAGTTTATTGAAGTTTAGTGATCAGGTTAACCCGAGCACTGTCTTTTTAGTTTTCATCGTCTCATAGTTCTCAGGTCAAACGCGGACCCTCCTCCGGCCTCCACACAAGTGCAAACCAAACCAACAACATTCTACGTGACCGTCGTGAATGGCGTCTACTTTTCAAGTACTTAATAACCGCCCCCTAGTTTGTGGTTAAGTAAAATTCTCATAGGCTCTCTATCATTTCCATTAACCCTTTAGGGCCCAACAGTGACCAACATCAATTTTCTCTTAACAACATCAGTAGATCATCAAGAGTAAAGGTTATGAGAATCACTAAATTGATTACCAAAGGGAAAATGCTTCCATCTTAAACCAAATTCTCTCAACTAATCTTAAAAGAAATGGGTGGAGATCACTCTGGAGAATTTGTATGTGGACCTTGGGGCTTAAAGGGTTAAAGGTCACTTGAGTGATCGAGTAACTAGGGAGCTTAAGAAAACACGTCCGGACGACGACAACGACAACGTCAAAAAACAATTAATTTTTTAAGCAAAAAAACAGATCTTCACGCTCTTTAGTACATTCCACTTTGATGTCCATTGCACGACTACGACTTGAAACCTCTTAAAACGGCGTTTTATGAAGGACGTGAACATGCGACGACGAATTTCCCTTTCTCTTTTTGAAGCTGGTTAAGGCCCTTAAGAATTCATCTCAAGGAGAAACCGCTACATTCCACGAATTTAGCTGGTCCAAATAGACGCGATAAAGTTTGAAAGGACGCAAATTCATTTTTTTAGCGACGTTTTCACTACCCTTGTCGCCGTCTTCGGTTAAAGGTGATGTTACACAGTACGATTCGCAACGACGATTTTTAGCGTTTGTGTTGTGCTAAAATTCGTCGTTGCGAATCGTCTCGTGTAACAGTTTCCTAGTACACGAGGCTTCGTTCATGTGGTTACGTATAGATAGATAAAATACCTTTTGAAGAATCGTTTCCAAATTAGCTTCCGACCCAGTGGAAGACTTTCCCCTTGAAAACAGTTCCCACATTCGTTTCCACCGTCCATTGTTTAAGTACCAGGAATTACCCTTGGAAACGTCACAGCTAATGACCTCTCGTGATGCAAGCTCGGAGCAGACCGAATAACTCCGGGGCTTGCCATTTGTACTTGTTAACAGAGCGGGAACTGGGTTCGAATCACAGCTTCGATGGTTCGAACTATCTTGAATGGCCATGGGAAACTTGCAGTCTTGAGAAACAAATGGAGAGAAAAGATCAACTCTTTCAAAGTTTGCTTTTAAACATTTTCTCTTGAGCAATTTTAAAGAATTTCATAGAATACAGGTTCGCTTTCCATCGACTATATGCTAAGCAAGCTACGCGTTTTCCAGCCTACGAGCAAGCTCTCAGGGGGCCTACGTTCGACTGAGTGGCAGGCGCCAGTTAGTTTTATAGAGCGCGCTCGAGGAACACGCGCAGGGCGGAAGAGGAATCTCCTCTCCCTTTCTTTGCTCGAGCGCGCGGGTGTCCTCAAAATTTCTCCCTTCGCCCTAAAAAAAAGAAAAAAAAAAAAACAGCGAGTGCTACGCAGGCATGGCATGCTACGAAGGCCCTCTGGTGAGCCCTAATATAGGGCCCTATGGAACATACGGCTCCATAGGGAGTCCTCGAAGACTACGGGATTTCAAACCACGTGATGTTTGTACACCGGAGAGCTGTTCGTTCAAATGTCGGCCTATCCAAAAACACAAACGGAATTTCTCCTAAGACCGTCATGTGGTGTGAATTGGGAAAACAAAAGTTCGATTGCCAGAAGAATTTCAGCAGAGAAATGGAAGGAATGGAGGAGACAATGCTAAAGTATCTTGGGAAAGGCGATATCATTTTCTTAGGAATTCCACTTTCCACTTCTACTCGTCGTCCAGGACAGGACAATCCCTTGAGTTAAGTTTATTTTTCACACTTTTTTTGTTTCACGTAAACAAACCAAAAATCCTGGGAGGGGGGGGGGGTTTTTCTTTTTAAGAGCCGGAGGGGGTTGGGCGGGGGGAGGGGGCGGCTTTTTCCGACCGGGTTTGATTTTATGGGGGAGGCATTTTCATTAGGTTATTTAGATTGGGTTAAGACTTTTTCGGAGGGTTGGAAAAGGGGGGGGGGGGGGGGGGGGGTATTTCCTTCTAAGAGGCTGATGGGGATGTGCCGCTGGATGGGGTCGCATTTTCACGACTGGATTGACTATAATGGGGTAGCATTTTCAATAGAGTTATTAGAATGGGTTCAGACATTTTCGGAAGGTTAGCAAACGTACCAGAATGTTTGTACTGTAGGTGAAAAATGGCTCAAGTCATTTTAGGATGAATTATTTAAAGGGTTCATAAGATATTTACATAGAGAGTGACTAAGTTGGGATCGCGAAAATTACATATTTGCCCAAAAGTGATTAAGATGGGGCCCATAATTGGTCACAGAATAGACTATAATGGGGTAGGGGCTCTGAGAGGCCATCGACACAAACCCAACAAAAATTAACCCAAGTAACCCCCCGGGCCAAAAATCAGTTGAAAATAATGTGGTGTCGGCGAAGGGCCTGCCCCTACCAAAACTCTCGTCGCAAAAAATGCATTTTATTTTGCAAATAAAATTACGAAAACCAGTTGAACAAACTATCAAAACAACCTACGCAATCCGGGTAGAGGTCGAATAAAAGGTGGTAGACTAAGAAAAGTATGTGGGCTAAGTACATTAATACTGTTTTCTTTTACAGGAAACCCATCCACATCTGGTTTCACGGCATTTCCTTATTGGTCCTTGTAACTAAACAGATGTTTTTTGGCGATAGATGTACTAGTTCCTTGGCATTGAGTCTATTAAGACTAAATGGCTTAAAAGATTCGCACGTCGCTTGGAAGATTTTTCTCGGTATTATCTGAATTTCTGGGGAAATTACTAGACAAATCAGGACAAAAACGAAGCAAGTAGGCCAGCCGGAAAAGATTATACCGACACGCCTTTTTATGGCGAACGTGTCCATACACCCACGATAATTAAAACTCCCACTGCGAGATTTTATAGTTACGTTATGTTTTAAAATTTAAGCTTTCTTTCCAAAAAAGGCTTAATCAAATCACTTACGAGAAGTTCAAGCGCTATTTCTCGTATAGTTTATTTCGTTTTGCAATGCAGAAAAAAAAAGAAAATTTCTGCCATTCTTGTCTAACCTCAAAGCCTATTATTTAAGGTCGCGTTCTGTAGCAATAATAATTATTGAAAGGAATTTTTATTGCATTCATGGGAGAAATGAGCTTCTTATTAGACAAAACGCAACTTTTATCAGCCACTTGCACTTTTTAAAAAGGAAGAAAACGCTATGTATTACTTACTACCGCTTAAAATTCAAACAATAAACAAAGGGGCCGGAAATGAATAAAAAAGCTGTTTCACTTTCGATAACCAATCTTCTACGTTCTAATTTGCCTTTCACTTTTTCCCCATTTTTCCCCAGAATTATAACAATGAATGTACATGCATGTACTGGGTTATATTAATACGGACTATTGTAATATTGCGACAGTGGAGTTGGAAAAAAAAAATCAAATGCTAAAGTGGGAACTGCATTCCAATTCCTCATTTAAAAAGCCGCACTGTCGAGTGGTGGTTCATTGAGCTATTGTTATCATTCAGTTACTTTACAAAATCAAACGCATGATTTTTAACGTAAAAAAATGGTGATTTTTCTTCCATAAATATTATGGTAATAATCTAAAGTCATACCCTACCTGGAAAAGGTCCAATCGGGAGATATCGTGGAACATTTTCTTCAACAACACACCTTTCTTCGTGCAGTAAAAACGTCGACTTTGTGGAATTACATCTACAGTAAAGCGATTGTTGATCATCTAGACATATTCTTGTATTTCTGACCATAACAGCCCGGTGTTTGGCGCAGAATTCCATGGCTTTTTCTGTGGTTGTACAAATGCTCTTCTTGTCGTCATCAAGTAGCTCGAAGTGATCAATTCCATTGAGCTGACGATCAACTTTGACTTTCCATGCGAAGGTTAAATTAAATGCCGCAATTAAAAAGGGAAAGAATTTCAAAAATACAAAATGCATAGCTACAAAAATGAGATGTGGCGAATTTCTATGATCTCAATCGCCAAACCACGAGATCCCAACGAGTCGAGCAACGAAGCTCAGAATAGAACACAGCATGGGTTGACCGGAAATGGGGTAGCATATTTTATCTTGGGCTTGTCATGCGTGACAGTAACGCAATTCCACTGAACTGTCTCTAAAACCGGAAATGGCGGAAGCTTTTGTCCAAAACGAGAAATTTGATTCTAAATGTTTTCGATTTGATTTAGGAAAAGACACCTCGGCATTTTTAAAAGTAAGATAAGTCACTCTTTGTGATCAGTCTGGTTTTGTTTTTGTTATTTTTTTCTTTTCCACAACCTTTGTACATGTATAGTTGCTCCCGCATTCAAGAATTTGAGACGCGTACGCACTTTTTATAGACGGAGAAATTTTTACAATGTTGAATCTGAATTCTGAATTTTCCTACGTCGTATCCTCGCCCACCTTCCTCTTTCCGACTTGTCTGGTCCTTTCTTGACCTTTCTAGCCCCCTCAATGCTATATGATAGTCACAAAAGTAACATTATGAACGCCATTGCACCCGAATTTCTAGATCATTCTCGAGCTTTCATGTTTAACAGAAAACGACTGATGCAGGCAAATACTTAGCCTGTATGAGCATCAGGCTTCACCAGGGTAAATCGAAGGGGAACTCTGAATAGTGACAGGACAGTGACACCGAATTTCACGGAGGTGGTTTATCACTTCCTAAAGTACAAACATTAACCACAAGGGACTTCAAAGGACCGCAAACGAATATACCGAAGAACGTAAGATCTATAAAGACCTGATCAGCAAAAATAATAATGTAGACATATTAAATTCTGCAAGCAGAATACTGCAATGCTGATCGTCCTACGTGAAAATTAACTCTGCAAGACATCAACACGACACCGAAAGAACTCAAACCAGAGCGGGATTGTAGCCATAGACAGCTATATCACTTCCTAGTTCAGGACTAGACTTTTCGAAACTAAGTGCAAAGCGAATAGACCTCTGAGCAACCTAATTCCCAGGGAATTCTACTACTTTTCTGGCGAGAAGAGGGTTTCCTCTCAATCATGGCCAAAAATGGACAAAACGGAGCTACCTCTGGAGTCAGTGTAGCTATAAGGAGAAGCAGGAGCCCAGATGGGTTTCTGGGAGTGGGTAGTATCGCATTGGAACTTCCGATAGCCCCCACCTGCCCCACGCAGGCGTTTCTTTTAGGGGTGTAGATCATAAAGTTGTTTGTGAAGAGGGAGGGAAAACGACTCCCCTGGAGACGCTTAGTGGAAGGCTGCTCTCCTGAAAAATCGAAATATAAATATAAATTTGAAGTAGCCTTAATTAAGCCGTAGATCAGCGATCTCAATCACAAAACGATTCAGCTTTTGATGCTCTTTGGTAGCTTTTGATCAAGCTCTTTGCTCGCGAATACGCTTTGATAGATTGTGTTAGCATAATGTTTGGTATAATTCATCATCACGAGCATAGAGGATAGACGAATTGGACAAGTGCCGAATAAATATTTCTCATGGCTTTTGCGAAGGGTTCGAGTGTATTCTCTAGATTTTAGTTAGTAAAAAATGTTTCTTTCTTTTTTGTTTCTTTCAAACGAACTTGACAGTTTCATTCGTTTTTGTCAATTTAAAAAAACGCGTGTGTTTTTCGAATGTATTTGGGTTGGGCGCCCCTAATAATTTTCCACAATATTCCGAAGAAAGAAATGCTAGCATAACTTGCCGTTTTGGCTAGTTTTCCAACACATTGTCATTTAGTCATCATGCAATGCTTTTTTAGCCCAAGATTAGTGTTCCTTTCAAATTTACATGTAAATAACAAAATTAGGCCATTACCTAGTTGTCTTGCCGAGCACTTGACTAATGCACGATATCAACACGCCACCAATCTCTTAAATTTATTTGAAAAAAACCTCAACAATTCATTCATACAATACACAATTATTTATTTGTGGTAATTCACGTTAACAGCTCAAAGCTGGAAATACACAAAAACTCCTTATCTCGTTTTGACGTGAAACTTTGGACTGATTAGATACCTTGTCATATTAGACTGAGATGTTCCTAAAAAGGAATTTATGAAAGTACTTCACGGATCGCTTTCCGATATCTTAAAAAGAGAAAATGACGATATTGAGACGCCATTGATAACTCGAAAAAGTTGTATTAACAGTTAAGTAATTCCTGTATAAAATTACATGCAGTCAATTCCTTTTTCGTTTTTCCTTAGATGTATTAAATGGTAATTAAAATAAAACTATGACAAAAATAAGAATTATTTTAGCTTCAAATATTTTCCTTCCTTTCCTTTTGTTTTATTTTCCTTTTAACTGAGCCGCTTAGACTAGCCATTGCTATTTTGCGGGCCAGTCTATTCTAATCCTATTTTTTAGTAATAAATATAGTTAAAGTTAAAGAAGAAGTTAAAGTTAAATACAGTTGAACATCCCCACAACGGTCACCCTCGGGACGGAAGAAAATGGCCGTTGTGGAAAGGTTCAACTGTATTTCATTGTCGGTTTATTTTTTCTTTCAGGAAGTACAAAGGGTCTTGTCGAAACTGCAAGGACACGGAGTAATACTTTCATTAGAAAATTCTAGGGGACGATTTTGGAATGAATGAATGCATGAATGGCCTTTAAGATAAATTCTTCAATGGCGTCTCATGTTTTACTTCAACATCAATAAACCACTTCTTTTTCGCAGAATACCAGTTGTATTAGAAAGTCGCAAGTCATCTCTTAAGGGGGTGGGGGGGGCGCACCCCTTGCATCCTCCCCCTAGATCCGCCCCTGCAACTCTGGACTGAGCGGCTACTAGCTCAAACTCCCCAGGGCTTTCTGGTTGAAGGGAGGCCGGCCTGATGCTCAGGCTAAAACTTCTCATTTCTTTTCTCGATATTTATGATCTATTAAAAATGTTAAGATCTTAACCAAACGCGACGCCCAAACCATTTTCAGACCCAGTTCTGGTTCAAGTCAAGTTTATTGGTTCATGAGCTCAACATGCTCAACAGGAATTATATCGTCCTTTCAGACGTTCACGTAAATAACCATCCCAAGGGAAAAAAAACATTAATCGGATAAAAGGAAAAATGAAAATCCTAACGAGGGAATTTACATAGCAAACTGAAATTGTATTTATTACATAGGATTATAGTGATCCTGTTTCGAGTACATTTTTTTAATTTTTCCTTTAGCTGCTACTCGGACAACTTACCCTATTGTCTGTCAACTTTGTAATAGTGACGAGTTTTCTGTGCCTCCTCAGAAGGTTGCTTTATTTTGGCTTTTCAGGCTGTTCAAGTTTAAAATAATATGGACTCTCCTTGCCAGCGGCTTCTTCAATCTGGCCAGGCTGTTCGAGTTTGAAATAATATGGATTCTCTTTGTCAGTGGTTTCTGTCGCCGCCAAGCCATCCTTTCCATCGGTTGACATGTATCCATAATCATATGCAGAAACGTCCGCTGACTTCGTAGTAAAAAAAGTAAAATTCAAATAGATTTGCCTTTTCCTCACATTTTGAAATATTAATCATTTAACACTCCCTTGCCTGGCGTTTCATAATCGCAGCACTCAGTCGAAGTTCGGGGGCGCTTTTCTCGGTACCTTTTCGGGCCAGAAAATAACTATTCAAATAAAAATCTTAACGATAAAAGGGTGGGTCCTAATAATAATAATAATAATAATAATAATAATAATAATAATAATACACTTTACTTAAAGAGGGTAGCACGGAATAGTTACAGAAACTAGTAAACTTGTGGCCCTTGCTACCAACTCAGTCCATTTGTTTTATTAATGGCTAGTTTTATCTAAACTTCTGTCTTGAATGCCAACAAAAATTCCTTTTCGGGACCGTAAATAAGCTGGTCTTTCGAGAAAAGGGCACAGGCCACAAAATTTAACTGATCGCTCGAGTTAAAAACCAGCGTAAAAAGCACGCCCACACCCCTGCCCCCTACCCCACCCCTAGACATTTTCACTTCAGGTTAGGGTGTCGTGTGAACCTCGGGTCACGATAAAATTTAGTTTTTAGGCACCTGTCGATGACAGTAACCTGTAAAGCATTTAGTAAGCATAATAGACCATTTTCTAGTTCCAAAAACTCTCACTTTCAAAACGAGGCCAAAGAGCAAGCCATTCATGTAAAAATAAATTTTATATGCATGAGAATAAAACAACTATTTTTTACCCAGATCTCCCACGTCCAAGAGCAAGAGAGTGAGATCAGGTTTCGAGATAAAGTCTTCATACTTAGCCTTGTTTTGAAAAAGAGGCTAGAAAAAACTCGGAAGGGGCCTATGCAAGTCTTTAATGAAAAGCCCTAGGAACAAGTTTAGGTGGTTGGTCAGAATATAAGACTAAAGTGCTGACGTTGGGGTGTGTTAATTACAACTTACGTACCTTAGATGGTTTCATAAGCGGATGGTAAGCTGGCATATTTTCACTGGACGTTGTTTCTTTCTTTATTAGTTCCTGGTACATTGTAGGATTCATGTACACTTCTCCCTCGCCCCAAGCTCCCTCGGTCTTCTTTGTGAGACCTTGGTACGAAGGTGGCTCCCATTTAGTACCATCTGTTTGTTTCCCAGCATTCCCTAGTGGTTGGTAATCATTTTGGTCCTGATTGATATGTTCTTCTGTACTTGTTGCCGAGTGATGAGTGCTTTGTTTCTTGACTGAAAATTAGTGAAAACTGTCGCTAAATACTTCGACATTATTCGAAAAGCCAGACAACTCAACATTACCTAAATATTAGGTTTTTTTAAACTTTATATAACTCTATAACTCCGTGAACGTTAATTACAAGATATTTTATAACGATTAAAAAACATTCTACTCCCCATTCAAACAAGAATTTGTCAAAAAATGATAGATAAGCGCTCAAAATACAATAGTCCATTGCATTGTCCAAGAAAACTGGTTTTGCTCCTTTAACAGGGCAAGAAATAAATTCAGGCATAAGCTTCACTTACATTGAATGGAGAATTGATTGGTGGAGAATGTATTTTTGCTGGTGAGAGAAAAAAAGGATGAACTTTAATTCTAAGGCATTTATCAACAACAGTACAATTTTATGTAAGGATAAAACAATATTTCAGTTGTATCAACGCGGAAGACTATAGCAAACTTTATATACTACATGTTTCTTTTTTCTTTTTAATCTTTTGAATTTCGTGTGCCGGACACAGATGACGCAAAACAAAAGACTTCTAATCTTTGTTTTCTGTTCAGCGAAAAATCAGCTTGGTATTGTTTCATGGTTTTTCTTCATTTAATTTACGTCATCTACGTCCAGTACACGAAGTAAATGCCCCTAAATTTGCACGTGGCTCCCTCTCACAGTCGCTCTCCAAACTTAAACAATCATCGATAAGACTAGCCTGCCTACATTCAATGCTTGTACATAAAACGATAGCTGACTTACCCTTGGTTTCTTTTCTTCAAGTAACATACTATGATAAGAGATACCACGGTGACCGCAACAAGCGCCGAGAGAACAGAAACGACAATAACAATTGTTTCTCCAAAGCTATCGTCACTTGAATTCTCTAATGACCGCCTTCCTGTATCCCCGGGCTCCTTAGGCTCAGTTGGCTCCGTGCGTTCACTGGTTTCTATTGGCTTAGTCTGCGTGACGTCAGTAGTTGATTGCGTCACTGGCAATGAAGTTGTTTCCCGCGCTTTTTGGTTTGTGCTTGGTTTTGTTGTTGGCATCTTAGTTGATTTTGAAGTCGAAGGCATCACTGTTGTCTTTGATTTTGTAGTCGCCGCAATTGTTGTCGTTTGTACTGTTGTTTTTGGCTTTAATGTTGTCATTTTCATCGTTGTTGTCGCCGCTGGGGTTGTTGACTGAGGTGATGGAGTGACTTAAACAAAAAATGTTTGGCATAAATGGGAAGAACAAGAAACAAAAAAACGGAGACTTCTCAAAAATTAGAAGTCTTTTTATTTAACAATTATTCCCATTTCGTATGCACTTTACAAGCGGTCTATTTTCCACTAAAACGCTCTTTTCTATATATGAAACCTTAGGTAAGGATGACTTTCATTAGAAGGATATCTGATACAACTTGAGACTTGATTGAATGGATCCGGGAGCTTTCAGTTTTGTCGATTCGTATACCAGACCTTAATGATGTGGATTTGTAATATTCAAAGAACCGGTCTTTTATAAGACTTGAAAGTATTCATTTATCTAATACCGCTTTCCTGAATCATTCGGCGTAAGCAATCGACACTCAGCGATCGAACCCAATCTCACGGACTACGTTTAGTAGAAGTAGATCAGTACACATTTACTTAGTTTCCTTCGCAGCCGTTATTAGGGTCGTCACTCGTGACGCAACGCTCCAGGAGCGTTGCGTGACGAGTGACGACCCTAATAACGGCTGCGAAGGAGACTAACATTTACTCAGATGTGAAAATATTTCAAGCAAAAAGGCTTTGTGATTGTTCGATTTTAGATCAGTTTTTCATTTTGTTTGTTACCTATGTCGGATCAGTTAGTATAAAAAGATTTATGATCACATTTTACGACAAAAGGCAGGAGTCAATTTCTACCAGGTGACCAAGTGTCGTTAACTGTAAAGTATATCTACACAAATGGTCAGTTTCATCCATAAAAATTTTAAACAGTTTTTAGCCAGTCCATTCCTATTTTGAGAAATTGCAACTTGAATCTGACGTTTGTCGTTTGTCGTAAAGGTGTTACCTAATTTCGCTATCATCTCAGAGAACTGAATGAGAGAAATGTCCCGTACTATACCGTATGAGGGAGTTTGAAGGAAAGCTTCGAAATTTTACCTATTTGAGTTCCGTTAGACTTGAATATGAAGCATGCTGAAAAATTCCTCTCGGGATTTCCTTTCTTCTTCTGTTTACATTTAAGGTTGATAACGAAGATGTTTCCACTTAAATTTGACGATGCTGCAGTACTCCACTTTGAAATAAAAGAAAATTCCTCTTAGTATACAATAGCCTGAGAAAACAGTCGGCCAATTTTCGCCAGTTTCCTGCGAAATGACGTCTGAAGAACGAACGTAGAAATTCGATACTGATGACATGTCACAAACCAGATTTGGGTAGTGTTTCTGATTGGTCGTGCCGCGGGAGAAATTTGCTATGACCAAGCATATGCACTACCCAGATCTGGGTACTGTGGGTGACACGTCATCAGTACGGAATATTTAATCTTGTTACTCAGTCTTTTCATGGCGGTGAAATCTGTAGTGGCGTCGCAAAGCGTCGGCTGTTTTCTCTGACTAAATATATAAATAAAATAGGACTAATGCAATATTCTTTTTTCGTGTAAGATTCTCTTAAGTTACATTTTATTCCTAAGGTCTTTAGAAATAAAATGTATATTTAGTGATGTCGCATTCTATTCACCCGCAGGCCTGTCATAGATGAAAGACTGAGTATCCCTAGTTTAGAAGATTGAGGGGGGAGGGCAAGAAGGTTAAGGCAAGAAGGGTGTCAATAGGCCATTTGCACTAAGAGGTCATGTGACATCGTTTTCATGAAAATGAAAGTTATATGATTTTGCCTTCGAAAACGATTAGTGGGTCATATTTTAAACAACATAATAGTGATTTGGTTTTTCAAACCCGTACCATTTTCGTAAAATGAGTAAATTCGCAGCTGGTCACGTGACCAAAATGTGATTTTTAAAATTATGAATTACCTCTTTCTGAACACAAATTTTGCACTTAAACTTCAAGGGAAATGTTCAAAAGATGAAGTGGTAACGTTTACAGCACATCTGAGCGTAACTATCAAACGTTTAACAAGGTAAAAGCAAAAAGTAGTTTTGGCCGCCATGTTGGAGGGCACGAGTATGCCCTCCAGCATGGCGGCCAATGCAAATGATACTACTTCGCTGAAAAATCAAAGTCCCATAAAATATCTTCCTTAAATGCGTTTCTTTTCAAACTGCCGGTGTAAGATAATTGTTATGTGCTCTGTCAATTTTTGGCATCAGCAAGATTCCAACTCATTGTTTAAAGGAAGCAATGGTCACGTGACCTCTTAGTGCAAGTGGCCTATTCCCGTACGCATGCGCATTGAAGAAGAAGTTAGAACACGTCATGTTGATTGAAACAAAAGCTCGTCCCTTGCTTCGTTGTGAACCAGACTATGTTTTTGATGCAAATTCTGTAAAACAACATGTTTGTTTTTTTTTTTGTTTTTTTGTTTAATTAAAAGTCATATATAGCAGAATTAGCAAGATCTGTATCTTGACATCTTACCTTGAACAGGATGTCCTTCTTGTCCTTCACTCCCCAAAAAGTATGAGACAAGTTGGTAACATTATGCCATTGGCTAAATCCAGAGTAGCGCGCTTGTTCTAAATTACACGACTCCACATCTTTATGTTTGCAAAATTTAATCTTGGGATCTTTTGGTGATGGTACCTGCAGTAAATCAAGTACAGGTGGACTCCAGGTGGACGCAGGCACTTTACAAACGTCTTTTTGTTTACTACCGTCATCTTCATCATCATCGTCCTCGTCACCACCACCACCACCACTACCTTTCGTTTTTACCTCCAAATGGGATTCACACCCTAAGCAACAATAAAAACACCAAGTTTAATTGCATGGGTAAAGGAATGTAGAGTTGAACCTTCCGTAAGCAACCACTCAAAATACGAACATTTAGAGGTCGTTTACGAGAAATACGGCTGCAAGTAAAGTAGGTTAGGGCGTCATTCCGTTGCTATGACAACTCTGATGTCATTGTAACCCTGATCATACCAAATTTTCATCTTTATCTAATACGGCTGTGATAGCACTTTTTCCAAAGCTTTGTTAATGGCGACGTAGTTTATGCTCAAACTTGGGAGGTATTGAACATGGAAAACACTATCGAGCCACCTTAATGCGTGCAAAATTCTAGTTACGATATGTTTAGTTCCATGTTGTCACTTTGAAACATTTTCCAAGGCTTTCTTCCGACTGGTCACGCCTAGGATTTCGTTAACTGACTGCTCTATTAATGTAATTTATGATAAAAGAGTCGAAAAAGAGCATATTATGCTATGCCTCGCCTGGACGAAGCGATCCCAGATATATATAAACACGTGGTTTAGAGTGACCTGGCTTGTATGGTGTTGTATTCCGAAGCCACTCCTAAATTCACAATTCCACTGCTTTCCACTCACTCTGTTTAACCAATTAAAGTCACTATCGTTTTCTATATCTTACCATTTTTCCTGCAAACATCTTAGTTCTTGAAGTGCACTTATTCCTCTCAGAACGTCAGAACTCGAACTGCTAGCCGACTGGAGCGGTCGACACACCATTCTAATTCTTTTAGCCGGGAAAACATTTTGCGCGATTTCTTCTGAAGATGCCTTTACAGAGAACTGTCTGCCTTTAAGACAACTTTTCTTCTTCACACAAGCGTCTCAAAAAAGTGCTGAATGCAGAACGAACCTTAGCACTCCAGTCAGCAAAACTAGTTTATCACAAAATTTATTGCCAACGCTGTACAATTCCCAAGGGCAGAACTCATTCTTGTATGCATATGCGTCTCTGATTGTTTTTTTAATTACAGTGACAATGATTTTTTACTGTATTATTATTTGCTTGTAGAAAAATAGCACCGACAAGCATACGTAGTATATACGTGTGAGTTAAAACAACAATCGCGTAAGCATAATCAATCAGAGAAACGAAATAAAGGACTTTTAGAAAGTCTAATAATATACACCTAATAAAACAAAAAAGCCAAATAAGAATTAATTATCCATGAAAATTGACCTTTGATATTTTGATAATGCTGAAGATATATTTGTGGTACGTTGTAATACTTCAATGTGACATCAGTTGAGTAGAAAGAAGGTAAAGACAATTTGAATTCATCCTTTTGTCAGACCAGGACTTCGATTGTAGTGAGCATGTATTGAGCTTTTTTGCTACTCACTTTTTTCATTTTTTCTATGACAGCCTTATTGCAATTAGGAGCGTATACAAAAGTATAAAATGTAAACTGAAAATCTTAATATGATTGAAAAGACATCTATTGATAAAACATCGCTTGAACCAGTCCTAACAAGCGGCAAGATGTAACCATGACCCTTGTCATTCCCTCTAAATTAGGGGCTGAGCATTAGAAAAGTTATTAGGAGGGAGGAGGGGGGCGAAGTAAAAAAATATATATTCGTGCAAGAAAAGGTCTTATGAAAAAAAAATTCGCAAACCGAGAAGCCCTAAAATATATCCTTGCACTGGCCTAAAAAAAATCATGCAAAGAAAATGTTAACGAAAAAATTGTTATGCAGCTCTAAAATTCCCCACCCCTCCCTAGCAGATGAATTTTAAAATCACTCTCCTTGGGACCGGAGTAGTGGGTGGAGGCCTTGGAGGGCTGGGGTGGGGGCAGGGTCCTACTGTTCAAATTTCATTTATTGAAAAGGTTAATAAAAGTTGAAATTTAACTTTCCGCTGTGGCTATAGGGCCGGTAACCGCACAGGTAGCCCAAGCTCGAAATATGAGCATCGGCGAACATCCGCATTGTTGCGTAACATTCGAAATATAAGGATTTGTATGGGAAAAAAAACCTATCGTTTCTGTAACCTACGAAAGTGAAAGAAACGATAGGTTTTTTCCCATACAAATCCTTATATTTCGAATGTTACGCAACAATGCCGATGTTCGCCGATGCTCATATTTCGAGCTTGGGCTACCTGTGATACGACATAAGACCAAACAACTACTCTTCATAATTAACTCATAGACAACTTATTAACGCTTTGTAGACGAGATCCTATGGTGTGACCATTCATTTGAACAATCTCCATCGGTACTGAGACATGATTATATTCATTTCTCAGCACTTTATATAGGAAAATTAAATTTAGAATTCTCTTGTTTGAATTTTGATTTGGAACTATTTGAAACTGTAAAAGTTGAGCGTAGACGAACTTGCAACATTCGACTGTTTAGAAAAATAATTGTATGGAGAAGAATGAGTGACCTACCTATTGACCCTTGCCCAAAAACATCCGAGTTGAGCTCCGATAGACTAACGCACTTGCCCAAATGAGCTAGATAAGTCGGATAACCTACTTTACATTGGCATGATTCACAGCAGTCTCGAGAATTCCAGCATTCTGCCTGAGTATTTACTGAATCAAACTTCACGCAAGAATCGGGGAACGAGGATGACATTCCGCTTGCAAGACAAACCTTCACGGCCGTCCGATTAGGATTTGTAAATTTGTCTTTGCTCTGAATTCTGGTAATATTTGTACTCAGCAGAGCACTTGCGGAGTGTGCAAACACCAATTGAAGAAGTGCTATCACGGTGGGTTTCATAATGTTTGACTGTCTTTTCAGCTGGCGTGCTCGTATTTTTCTAATCAATGAAAACTCAAAAGTGTCGGATCCACGTGAAACACGCCTTTTCCTATTCTCCTTATTTAGACACCCTGACAGGTGCAAAATCCTGCTAAATGAGGAAATCGCTGAAAGGCAGGGTCGACACTGATTACAACTAAGGTCGCTAAGATTTTTGGCCATACAATGTTTATCTTTTAAGGCCGATTTAGACGGTACTATCGTGCGCGACTACCATACGTCTTGACATTCGACCATCCACACGCGGACACTTACGACATCCACAATGTGTCGTACGAATGTCGTGGCCGTCTAATTTACACGAAACGAGCTGACGTGAAGTCATGACGCATGCTATAGTCGCGCACGAAATTCGGCCTTTAGGAGGATTCTCAAGGAGGACGTGGACTACGAGGGAAAAAGAGAGAGTATCATCCTCACTTGGAAGAAGCAAGCAAAGAATTTCATTTCCAAAATCTGACATCGTCCTAGCACGTGAAGAGTGTAATAAAAATTTAAAGGGTTATAATTTAGTGTCACGCTATTTGCAATTATTATTTTTAACACCTAAAGCGTGTCTTCTCATCAATTGAATTCCAAAAATAACGTTCAGGTCATTCGAGACTATATTTAGACATTGGAACTGTTTCCTGTCTTGGCAAAGAAACTTCAACTACAGGGATCCCCAGCCAGACCCACAACAGCCTCCTCGAAGCCAAATTATAAAGATTTGCATCGGAATTTTATATCTTGAGACCGCTAAAACAGTTACAACACACATAAACACCCATTTTTGTGTACATAGCTCATAAAGAAATGTTTATGTATTGTTTTCTTTGTGTTTCCTGCCCTGCTAAAAGTCTGGTTACCCTGTGCTCACAATACAATACAATACAATGTTCTTTATTTTGAGAGGGTAGATACATGATTAACCCAGTAAAGAGTTTTCTAACACATGGCCCTCAACTGGAACATCTTCAAATAACGATCGATCTTACGTAGTGGGCTTAGAAACTAAGGCAGAATTTAAAATTTAACAGCTCCCACACACCTTCCCGCAAATAAGAAAGAAAAGGAAAGGAAACTATAAAAACAACAAGTTTACCGAGAATGAAGTTATATGTCGTCGTCGTCAAACAAACAAGTGTCAGCAACAAGAAGCATATTTTCACTACAGGCACTTATTTTATTGTTGTAAAATGGATTATGCAACGTGCACTAGATTGAGTAGCGAAGCTGTTTATCAATTTAGATCAGTGATGTTGACCAGAAAAACTGAATAACAGTCAAACCCCGTTAACGCTTACACGGAGGGGGCCATTAAAAATGTCCGTATTACGGGGTGTTCCTATTACGAGGGTGTCATAAAGCGGGGTTCAACTGTATTCATTACAATATTGATAATCATTATAAACAAAGGAAAAAAACATGTCACTGAGAAATTATTGAAAAATGAAAAATAAACTATTTACAGGAGAAATTTGGCAGGGACTTTTGCGAATAATTCAAGTTTATCCTGTTTCAGTTTGATTCAGGCTAAGACGCTAAACGCTAAAAAACAAACACTTGACTACTAAATCTCTCTGATCCAGTGAAATAATCCCGGGAATATTTTGTGTTGAGGCACAGCCTTTCCCTAAGACAAGAAAACAGAAGCACCTTAATTTTCCTAGAAAATACTCTACCCAAGGTCTGTTTCAGACGTCGATGTTCTTCTCGGTACATGGACACCTGGCATGCATCAAATAAAACGCAATTCTATTGTTTTATCTCATTAGAATTAATTACCTTCGGCACATAGGAAGTTCGGGCTGAAACTAGTCTAACGTATGTGTTCCGCAATAGCCCCTTATACTTGTTTAGGTCTAACGCGCAAATTTCACCACCAAGCTTCGTTTTGAAATTGTTAAGCCACGTGCTAAGACGCGTGTTAAGACACGACATTGTTGGCCAACAACTCCCAACATTGTTGTATGTTACGTGCGGCGTCTTTTTACCACCCTGTTGAATGTTGTTGCGTGTTGTTGGGAGTTGTTTTACAAAGTTTGAAACTGATCAAACTTTTGAATCAACAACTCATTCCCAACATTTCTTTTGTTCAGTGATCACCGAAGCGTAGCGCAACAATGTTGGATCCGTTTGCACAGCTCTTCCAAAACTGATGGGGCCACACACGCTCATTACACATGGTCTCCAAAGTTTTATGGGTTGTATCCTTCCCACGATGCAGTGCAGGTCCCAACCGTGTTGGGAGTTGTTGCATCCGTTTGCACACCACTGCCAACACAGCGACAATGTTGGAAGTTTCTGCCTCCGTTTGCACGTGGGTTTAGGTTGCAAAGCTTTGCATAAATGAATTCCCAAGGAGTTAGAGTTGAAAAGAATACCCATGCACAAAGAGTGAAAATGCGAAGACATTTAGCTTAATTACAAACGAGGCTTGGTGGTAAAATTTGCTCGTCTGACATAATTTCATGCATAAGGGCCGTTACCTGTGGATTATTACCTGTCAGGAGCCTATTAGTAATCGGTTCCTGTGCCTGTCAATTACTAAGACCATAAACAGTGAAAATGGCTAAGCACTGTGTGTACTCCTAGTGTGTTAGCCTGCAAGCAAGCTCCCCATTTTGGGGGAGTTGCGAGAAGTCACGCGTGAGAAGCACGCGACAATGTTGGCTAGCGGAGAGTTTGTTCTTAGGCTACTGGCGTGCTTGTTTCCCGCGTGCGACACTGGTTGGTTTTCGCTGCAACTCTGATTGGCTCGAAGTGACATTTGTGTTTTTACTTTAACCTATTTGATTAATTTCCTAAGACTATGACACCACATTAATGATAAAGGTAGAAGATAAAGCCCCTTGAGAAAGGAGTTAATTAATGATCACAAGCTCATACAGATGAGATTAAGATTCACGCTTATTACATTTACACCACTGCAGGCCAAATTTTCTCTTTTGATTTTCGAGACGACATTGTCGTATTGCTGTCTCCATATACATCAAGAAGGGGTTTCACCGCCGGCTGTTCAGGCTGGGCTTCCTGTGTCTCGTCATTTGAATTAAGCACAGGCGGCCTACCGTCCTGAATGTGAAGCTCTAAGAGTGGGATAGCGTCTTCGGGGTTGCCATGATAACTGTATCTCTGGCTGTTTCTCTTCTCCACGTGGGTAACCTTATGTTCTTTTTCTTTTTCTTTTTCTTCTGGTACTTCTTTAAGAGGCTTAAAACCATGGTCATCACCGATAACTGGACGAGACAGGTGGAAAACAGTATTAAAACAAATAAAATTCAAAGTAAAAACGTTTAGTATCTGAAGCTAGCCAGACGTTTCTAAGGTTAATCTCAAAACCCCGACCGAGAAGGTGCACTGTACAGCAACGCCAATGATCCCCACTCAACTGCAGTTCGTTTTTATCGCCTTTTTTATTTCATTGTTTGACGCGTTCTTCAAGTTCTTAGCACATTCACCATGCAAGCATGCATGCCTAAAATCCATTCAATTCCTTTACTTTTCACTTGATTACTTTGGGTCGGCAAGGGGATCATTTGAGGTCGAGGATCAATTGCGGTCCATTTTGGCGATTATTTCTGGTCTGGGAATCATTTGCGGTACTGTACATATGAGGTTTCCTTTATAAAGTAAAAGTGGACAAAGGCCAGTCTCTAGTGAAAGAGATTGACTTTGCCAGGAGACTCTACGCTTTCGTAGAGAGAAGTTAATTGGCTATCAAACTGAGGAATATATCCTCCTACTGGCCCAAGGATTTTGGAACTTTTTTACCAACTGGTCGTTACAGCTAAATATGCTGAAGTAATTCGAAATACCTGGAAGCTTGCGATCCTTTAGGTTTGCCCCCCTGCAGGACGAAGAAAGAAAAAAAGTTATTTTGACGGGAGATTTGGGCCCTTTAATGTAAAAATTTATTTATTTATTTATTCAATCGCTTGCGTTTTTAGTAATCGCACAGTGTCATCATTTTTGACGTAATATATCAAGCACAATTAAGACGCAGTGTTTCATCACCAGATGAAACACTCTGAGAAAAGAGTTGAAAATACGAAGCGCAGCGGAGTATTTTCGACGACTTCGAGATGTTTCATCTGGTGATGAAACACTGTCGAATGCTTAGTATTTCGTAATGAATAATTAATGAGTTTGAGAAGTTAAGTAACAGGTCAAAATGATGGAACACGCTCTTTAAAGGGATACGCATGCGTACCATTCATCTTGGTGACCAGATCAGACTGTTCATATGGGAAAGTTTTCATCTCGGTTAAGAGATCCCAGTTGCAACAACCGAGATGTCGACAACCGGCCCAATCAGACTTTTCTCATGAACAAACTGATTGAGTCTTAAGGGTGCTTTTCAAAAGTCAGTACCAACCAGCCAGACCTGTCATTTTAAAAATGAAATATTAGTCTTTTCTTAAATTTTTAATAAAACCCATCACTGCTGTACATAAAATTTAGGAAGAAACTGATCTTGGTGGATAGTCCCGATGACCAGTGAATTCTCATGATGACTGGACGGGTCAGGCCGGCAAGTTCTGGCAAATGGTAAGCGCTTCTTAGAAAGGAGACAATAGTGTGGCAAGATCAGAGAGACTGGGGGGTGGGGTACCAAAAAAAACATTTTGTACGGGCAGGCTCGGCCCCAAGGTCCAACCCTTATCGTTTTGAACACCATTTTAGACAAACAAGGGCATTTACTGACAAAGCGTACCCCTTTCACATACCGAGTAAAGAACGCGGCATTCTTTTAACCACCGTGAATGCACTGTCTTCTAAATAATGATAATAATAATAATAATAATAATAATAATAATAATAATAATAATAATAATAATAATATATGAATAAATCACAAAACCAGTAAGTTTTCTTGCCTTTTAAACAGCCATAAAATGCGCCTGTTAGCCCTTCCACAGAGCGCAATGACAAATGTCCCCTGCCCTTTCATATAATTCAACTAGTGAAACTCCTACCCTTTCATAAACCTGAAACCTGAAAAAGGTATCCCTTCTGGGCTAAGCCTCCCCGTATAGGCCATTAAAGGGAGTAGGGAGAAGCCATCCCCCGCCCCCCTTCCTGGGGAGGCAGGCCTTCATGTCACTTGTAGGAGACCATTGAGTGTGTTGCTAAAGATTTAGAGATACCATGCCTTACCCTGTTCTGGCCCTGTCTTTTATTATCATGAAAATGACGAATGCAATCATGCCACCCAGCAGACCAAGCACTACTATGATTGACACAATCTCTCCGCCTCCAGTCTGCTTCTCATCACCCGTGGCGGCGTCTACATCAGGCTCATTTGGAGTGCCCATTGTGTGGTGTGTCACGTGTAGATCATGTGGTGAGTGCGTGATATTTCCGTGCGGCTCTTCATGATCAGTAGGATGGGTGGTGTGGGTAACATTGTGTTCCGTTTCCGGTGCTGACGTGGTGCTCTCAACCTTAACTTCGACGCCAGCATTTGTAGTCATGGCAACTGGTGAGCTGCTTTGCGATGTCATAATTTCTGTTGAAGATGGCGTCGTGGAAGATTCAAGGTTTTTCTGTGTTGTGGTTGTTTTCATATCTGATGACGATGTCACATCCGGTCGGGATGATGTGGTCAGATCTGCAAGTTGAGATGAAGAAAAAGTTAGCGTTATTTTCAAATCTTCGTGCTGCGTCGTATGTTTCATTGGTGGAGAATCAGTATCAACAGATGATGATTTTAGAAAATAGCGTGACGTCGTTTTTATCTCTTTATCCCAAAATGCAAAAGTCAAGGTCTGAGATGGCGATGTCGTCATTGCTTGTATGTTATGCACCGAAGATGTTAAAAACGATGAAAATGCAATTGAAGTTTTTGTTGGCTGTGATGTTGCTTTCTTATTTGACTGTCGTGTTGAGTATTTATCTAGCATTAATTTTCGAAATACAGACGACGTCACAATTTTTGTAGGTTTGGTTGAAGTAACGTCTTCTATCCGTGATGATGATTGGTTAACTTCAGAGGACGTCACTTTGTGTTCAAACTGGGATGAAGTCATGGATGTTGTGAGTTGAGGTGAGCTCGCGAATCCTATCTGTGGGAGAACACGTTCTACTACGACAGTCTTAATATCTTGAGAAGAAGTTAACGTGTCCGTTATTAAAGAATTTGTCATTGTCATTGTTAAAGGAGGGGATTTTAAACCTTTCAAGGACGTCACAACTTTGTTAATCTCGGAGGAAAATGACGTTGAGGTCGTTGTAGGTGACCTTATATCTTTAAGTCTAGACGTGACGACTCTTTCCTCAAGCTGGACTTTCGTTAAGTCTTTTAAACCTTGCGATGACATCATTTCTTCGTGAGCTGCAGATGACGTCACCGTCATTGGTGGCATTACGGTTTGCGGAACTTTGGATGTCATCCATTCATCTTTCTCTGGTAAACTAGTTTCGACTGCTACTTGTGATGACGTCATAACTTTTGGTGTATGAGATGAGGTCATTTTCCCCTCAGAATTGAAAAGTGATTTCTGTTTCGACAGCGAAAACATAGTTTTCTCCATGGATTTTAATACCTCTCTAGAGGGAGAGTCTTTAATTGAAGAAGATGACATCATGGTTGCTCCGGTGACGACATCAACAATGTCAACTGGCGTAGATGGTCTCAATGGTTCTATTGATGAGGTCACTACGGAATGTGATGTTACAGACGATTCAGTTGACGTCATTGACAATATAGTAGAAGATGGTGTATAAACTTTATTTGACAACACAACTGGCTTTGACGTTGAGACCAGAGGAAGGATCTCTACGATAGGTGTTGTCGCTTGCTTAGAATCCTCAGAGAAAGACATCTGCAACTTTGATTTCGAGGACGAAAAAACTGGATATGATATCAACGTAGGCGTTGCTGTGGTCATTTCAGAGACTTTAGTAAACCCTGATGGTGTCATCACATCTGTATTCAAGGATAACGTTGTAGCAAGAAGTAACGTCATAGTTAACATACTACTCTTTGTAAGTGGCCCAATTTCAGACATTAGTGTACCACCAACAAAATCCTCTGCATTGTACGTTGTACTGCTTTTCATTTTAGGCAATGGAATGTGTGTTGTTCCTTTTGCATCTGAATCTGCCTTCAATATTCCTGATGTTGGTCGCTGTGGTACTTTAGATGTTTGAGATACTTCTAATCCTTCTGTCACCTCTTCCTCTTGTACTGTTGTTGTGTTTATTCTTTCTTTCGTTGTATTTGTTGTTAATGATGACGACATTGATGGTTGAACCGACCGTTCACCACCTAAAATTAATAGGAGCCGTGTCACGAAATGTATTAACATTAACCCTTTAAACCCTAAGATCAAAATTTGAATTCTCATTTGTTGCCGCTATTTATTTCCTATAAACGTAGTGGGGAGACGTTGATAAAGTATCAAGCAAATTCATCTTGTGTGATCATGTCCGTAATTCTCATTACCACTAAGATCACTCTTTCATAGGGCTTAAAGTGTTAAACAGTGGAAACTGTCATCAAACTGAGAGTAACATAGAACTCAACACTTAAAACATGAAAAAAACGTATGAATAACTCAACAAATAAAAAAAGAGGTACGGATGGAAAAACTTGAAGATTTAAACGGATTGCATTTGTGATTTTTGCATGACAACTTGTAAGCCTAACAGTTTTTTAAAGTTCATTGTTGTTGTTTGTATCGTGTTTGAAAAGAAGCAGTGAATTTGTTATTCATAAGTACCTTCTCAAGTTCGAATAAGGACGCATAAATCAAACATTAGGAAGTTTAAGCAACCACGTTTTTGAGCGACTCATGTTAACCGGAAGTGAGCCTTTTTCTCTTTTAAAATACCTTGACGCTACCAAATTTGTATTGCTAAGTTTATTTGCTCGAAAAGAGACGATTTGCTAGTTGCTAGTTGTTCAGAATCAATGCTCAAGAGTGTAACAAGTCCACTTCCGGTTGACGAGCGTCGCTTAAAAACGTCTTAAACTGTCTATTAATAACAAAATAAACTAGACAGCCGTGACACAGCTCCATTAAGTCTGGTCATCATCCCCCTTCAAAGCGGTTATCCTGTGTAGCAATACAGGGATCCCATGGCGTCTGCCAGACTTGAAAAATACGGCTCTTTAACGGTCCAAAGTACGAACTGCGTTTATCTCCTCCGTAGTGTCAAAATGGCGTCCCTTCAGCTGGACCGTTGCGGCCGGAAAATAAATCGCATTGCGCTAAGTTGGTGAATAAGGCAGGGGAAGGGGTGGGGAACGACGGACGTCCGCGTGCAGCGAGAAAGCGAGTGGCGAGTGATCGAAAACAATTTACGATGTTATTCAGTATTTTGCAGTTTTAGATCGCTGCGGCGATACTTCAGCGGGGCCTGTGTGTGAATCCCGTCAATCGAGGAGACTTATGAAGTGGTTCTCACTTTTGAGTCTGTGCACGAAATCCTATGGTGTTACCATTCAAATGAAACCTCTTCAGCAGTACTTTCACATGGTACTATTTATTTAGTATGTAGTTCTAACTTTTGAGTCTGTGGATGAAATCCTATGTGACCATTCAAATGAAACCTCTTCAGCAGTACTTTCACATGGTACTATTTATTTAGTATGTAGTTTTAACTTTTGAATCCCTAGCCAAAATCCTAGGTGTGACCATTCAAATGAAACCTCTTCAGCAGTACATTCACATGGTACTATTTATTTAGTATGTAGTTCTTACTTTTGAGTCTGTGGACGAAATCCTATGGTGTTACCATTCAAATGAAACTTCTTCAGCAGTACTTTCACATGGTACTATTTATTTAGTATGTAGTTTTAACTTTTGAATCCCTAGCCAAAATCCTAGGTGTGACCATTCAAATGAAACCTCTTCAGCAGTACATTCACATGGTACTATTTATTTAGTATGTAGTTCTTACTTTTGAGTCTGTGGACGAAATCCTATGGTGTTACCATTCAAATGAAACCTCTTCAGCAGTACTTTCACATGGTGCTATGTATTTTGTATGTAGCTGAAGCTCTAACCTTTGAGTCTGCTGTGGACGAAATCCTATGGTGTCACTGTGATTAATCAAATGAAATGTTTATATGTTCTCCAAGGCGGTTGTAATTTTAGTCTTGAGATGAAACCCTGTTGTGACCATTCAAATGCATTCTCCTCAGCAATATTTTCACAATACTACTTGTTTATTGATTCCGCAGTTACAAAATGACATTTAGAAATTTTGTCGAGTTGTGACTTTGGCCTGTTTGGCTAGAATTACGAAAGGATCACAAGCGGATCGAACTTGAAAATGTTTGCTAAATTTTCACAATACAGCGAACTGTGGGGTAGTTGTTTTAAGGTACTGTTCAACGATGCAATGAAGCAAATTTACACAAGAGTACAACACGTTAGGAACAACTTTGTTTACTATACCAGAAAAGAAAAAAAATGGTACTAACAAAATTGTTTTACTTTCATATTGACTAATTTAAATTCAAATTTAAAATTTTTCCTTTACTGAGTTCAAATAGTGGATCATCACGTGATCAGTAAATGCCTCCTAGCAAAACATGAAGCAATCTTGCGTTATTTTAAATATTGAACAAATTGTTCCAAACATATTAGCTTTAAACCATTAAACACGCAGGCAATAATCAAATAATTTTTTTTTTTCCACGCTTAAAAGGGTGTTTTAAGCCGATCAGTTTCCATAAATGTTCTGACTATTTTTTTTAAATATGATACGATTTATGGACATAAAATTCCCTTTCACTTTATTTCTTTTTAAATTATTCATTTAAGTAAATGCATCAACTGTGTTTAAATTAGGATTGCATGAGATTTGAAATGTGCGTAGGCTGTTGTTTTAAGTGAGAAACAAAAGAAAAAAGATTACATTTTAAATCACATATGATCTGCATAATAAGTTTATTAACAAAATTAAGTCCGCTTTGTGGGAATTTTAGTTTACTTATTTTTGTTTAAAACTTGCCAATAAGCGACTTAATATAATAATATTACAAATGACCACCCTGTAAAAAAATATTGTTCATAAAGTAAATATAAAACTGCCTCTGTCCAAGAATCTTTTGTCAACCAACATTTTGCTTTTACAATTATAGAAAACCACAACGAAGTAAGTTAAAGAAAGTTAAGCTGGTTATTAGCGATCGGGGCACAAATAGTAGACTTGTGTTCCGTAAAATAAAACCACAGAAAGAAATACTTCGTCGCTTGGACTGAAAAGTCATGTTCAATTCGTGGCAGAGTATAGCTAATCTGGATCGAGATCAGATCACTTTAATTTTTTTAGACTCAAAGACATTGTCCTAGAGTTGATGTACAATTTCACTGGCCCAGACGGAGAACAATTATTCATGTTCGCAGAGTGTATCGCACATTTCAATCAAGGAACGTTTATGTAGATTTCGTAATTCATTTCACTCACCAGGATTATCCGGAGGTTGTGTCATATTCTGGCTTCTCACAATCACTCCATGTGTTAAGATAGCAATGAACAGATAAGTTATTTTGATGTGTTCCATTTCCGTGGCACACCGTTTCCACTATTGCAGGTGAATATTCTATCGATTTTTTTGTCTTGTCTGAAGGAGACAGGTTCCTCTCGTCAAGTCAGAGAAAGCGGTGCAAAGCGCTCTCCAATGGCCAGTGAGATGTGAGGAACATTGCTTGTCAAGGTTATATTTTTCGTGACGTTGTACTGATGGCCCTTGATTATGGGCAACATATCTAATAGAGGACTTATACAGGCGAACTTTGACGCGACAAAATCTCATGAATTAAATATCCGGTGCTTATTAGTTCAAAGTCTCTAACAACTAAGTGTATAAACTTTTCTTATCCTCTACTCTCTTTAGTCCTCAACCCACTTTTAAATCAAACAGTTACAAGTTTACACTCCTTGACTTAGCCGGTTTTTTGCTTTCATCGGCTTCTAGCTTTGTAAGAACATTCATCACACTTATCTATATTTAAAGAAATATAGCTGTATATTACAGCGAAAAAAACTGTATTGATGAGTGTGTCGGGAACAAAACACTGCTATACAATAATCTGAACGTCAAGGGTACTTCGTATTGTTTCCTCGCCAGTTGTGCCCTGTTGACGCTGATTTTTCAACTGTATATTTGATTCTGGAATCATTACGTCTGAAACTCATTCCTTTCTTCTAAAGGGTTTGACTACGGACAATGTATAATACATTTTAACAGAACGTAAAGGTTGACCAAAGTATCTCAGCCTTCAACAGTTTGGTCCGGGGGGGGGGGGGGGAGGGGAAAGGTGTTTTTTTTTTTCAAGGAGTAGACGGCCTACGGGTTCGTGGATTTAACGGAGGTTCAGAGTGTGCTCTTCCGGACCGACAATGGATAAAACCTTTTAAAAGAACGGAAAGGGTGGACAAAGTATCTCAGCCTTTAACCGTTTGGGCCGGGGGGGGGGGGAGAGGGTACTTGGGTTCATTTTTGCTGGGTATGTGCCGCTTGCCCCTCAGAGCCCCTAACCCATTATAGTCTATTCTGTGGTCAATTATTAGTCACTTTTGGGCAACAAATTTTCGCGATCCCACCTTAGTCACTTTCTATTTTTATGAATTGATCCATTTTTAGATTGAATGAAGAACACTTTACTTTTCATCTGCAGTACAAACATTCTGGTACGTTTGCTAATCGTAAATATGAAGAACTGTCTCACCCCAAAAAATCCCAAAATGGGCGACCCAATTCTAGCAACTCTTTTGAAAATGTGACCCCATTATAGTCAATCCAGTCGTGAAAATGCGACCCCATCCAGCGGCACGTCCCCATTAACCTCTTATAGCGAAGTACCCCCCCCCCCTCCCCGAGTTTGGTGATGCTATACCATTTCTTTCTTCGAACTCTTAAAGCCTTCCCCCCTTTCACTTTCAGTTCCAGGACTGCTCTAATCCAAGTTCAAGAAAACTATCAAATTTTCATTTTGAAAAAATATCGAAAACCAAACAGTACCATGTGAAAGTATAGCTGGAAAGGTTTCATATGAATGGTCACACTTTAGGGTTTCATCCAAGGATTCAAAAGTTAGAACCACCTTGTACAGCATAATAAACAGTACCACAGGAAAGTACTGCTCAGAAGCTTTCATTTGAATGGTCAGACTTTAGGATTTCATCCACAGACTCAAAAGTTAGAACCACCTTGTAGAACATAATAAACAGTACCACAGGAAAGTACTGTTCAGTAGCTTTCATTTGGATGGTCAGACTTTAGGATTTCATCCACAGACTCAAAAGTTAGAACCACCTTGTAGAGCATAATAAACAGTACCACAGGAAAGTACTGGTTAGTAGTTTCACTTAAATGGTAGAAATTTCAGATTTATTGTTTAGTTAGGGATATTAGTTGCGCTCTCTTACAACTAAAAATAGAATTTTTTAACGATCGAAAATGTCAGTCGTGGCTTTTGTTACATGTCGAGTAATTCAATGGGGCGTCATGAATTGCGAGACTCCAATGTCCCTTATCGACCTCGCTGTAAAAAATGCACGTTTGTAACGCTACGAAGCTGTTGTTGTTGATTTTTGTAATGCAATATACCGCAATTTTGCTTCTTAAAACAACGTCGTCTTTATTTATTTGGACGGATGAAGGTGACCTCAAATATCACAACGAGGTCATTTCTGACGTCACAGGTGTAGTGGTCAGCGGTCCAATAACTACTCGAAAGCCAACGTTTAATGGTGACTTTAACTTTTAACACTGAAGCAAGGACCTGCTCAACGAATAGCTTTTATCTCAAAGAACCAACCTGTTCCTGGTTTCATTAAACATTTCGGCTGTTAAGAGCTTTAATTCGGTGATACAAAAAAAATGCTACTCATGATCACGTGAACAGAGCGAAGTGAAAATAGACAATAACACAATATTAATCCTTTATATGGGCGCTTGAACGAATATTCGCTTATTCATGTAGAAGAATGCAATCATTTCAATAGGTTGACTGATAGCTCTTTGTTGAGGAGGTCACAAATCAATACTGGTAAATTCAACAACCTAAAACACTTTTAAGACCAAATGCAGTTTGACCGACGCCGGTCAAGCGTCTATGGCAGAACCTCCGTAAAATAATAAATATGACCCTTATTGCACAGTCCAAATAATGTTTTTATCGCACAAAAAATTCAACGATTACAGTGCACACATTCGATTCTAGAGCTACTTACATACGGTCATGTATACAGTTGATTCAGTAAAGGTTACTTCGGGCATTGAGCATTTGGGCTTGCGGAACAATGCAATTATTTGCCTGAGTGACCACCGAAACATAGCCTCTCAATGCCCAATTCCCAATATCCAAAGCAACCTTTATTGAATCAGCTATATTCGGTATATCCATAATTTTAAAACCTAGAACAATGCTTAGTTTATCTATAATATTGTGATTATTTATAATTTTGTAATGTCTCACTACCCACCCTCCCCTCGTGTTTCTTAATTTACTTCTAATTTCCCAACCCTCCCCTCTGTGAGCAGGTATATATCCACGGTAATACAAAATATGTTATTCTCAGCAGAATAAGTTCGCCCCTGATGTGAAGGATTAAAAACATACTCAGGCCGAAGCATGGGATCAATTTTAGTACGACCCTGAGATTTCTCCTCGAAAAGTTCCTCTGTGTTACTTGAGAAAAAGTAAAGATTTTTTTAGGATAGAAAATTTTCTTCTTTCGACACCTGAAGAGATCTATTTTTAACTTTACGCTAAGCCAGATGGCTTCTTGTCCTACAGAGAAACTTAAAATTCTAAAGCGAAGCCAATAAAGGAAGAGGGAGTCCACTTTGTTCTCTTGACATCAGACAAAATTTTCACACGCTTTCAACACGGTCTGCTTTTCCCGCGCATGACACCCACCAGCTCCAGTTTTTTTTGCCTTGGATCATTTCCAGGTTTACCGCGCTTGGCATAAAGATGCGAGCTAACCGCTCCACCCCGCTATCACCAGATGAGAGACATCTGTGACGATAGATTTTGCCCTTCTAAGCACAAATCGGGGAAATAAGCGTCTAGAGAATTCGAGCGACTTCGGCCGTAAGAACAACAAGGGGAAAACTAACTCTGCAACTCGCTTGGCTAGCGGGAAAGGAACTCGTAACTATTCCAAGGTACTAGGATCTACTACAACTGGAAACAGCGGGGCACCCAACGAGAATATAGTTCAAAACCACTTAAACATAGAATTGTTAAACGTATCTTAGTATTTAAACGGTAGATATAGGCACATTTTTATCCCCTAAAAATTTTTCATCTGTTCGGATTTCCTAGCTGAAAGTCAAGTGATCCGAAAATTATAGGGATCAAAACTTACCTTTTCGAAAATTTTAGCCAGAAAAAAGGCTCCCGAAAATTCTAGGTGACCTTTTTAGGGTAAAAATCCGTTAAAAATAGGCAATTATACCATTTTTTAGATGTCCGAAAATCCCAGGAGAGGCAGGCAAGCAAGAAATTTTACAACAAATGTTCCGAAAATTCTAGATCTCAAATCGTCTTCCGAACAGATATTTTCCCGAAAATTGTCGTTGGGTGCCCCTGAAACAGGACAGGACTCAAACTTGGACTTCAACACTTTAATCTTCAGCTCGTGAACGTAAATCATACAGTCAAGTAAATCCGCCATGTAAATCCTACAAGCATGTAAATTAGCAATGTAAATCGAAAAACAGGAATAACAGTGCTCTATTTATACTAACCGATCAACTTATTACAACATCACAAAACAAATGGAAAGAAGGTTGAATAAAATCAACTAAACAGCAAAAATAAATCTGGATAAATTCAGTTTTAAAGTTCATATGTTAAACTAATAACTCAAAATTAAATGTCAAAGTTCAACTTCAAAGGGAATATTTAAAAGCTAGATAAGGAATTCGAGGTAAATAAAGAATTCATGGGAAACCTCTCCTTACACATCAGTCAAGTGTATTCCTTTTTGACACCGGCCCTAAGTTTTTCCTTTTTTTAATTTTTTGGCATCGGTCAAATGGTCTTTTAGTACAATTTAATCTAGTAACTGAACACTCACGTAATTTGACTTCAGTATCAGAATGGAGACCTTACAAAATACGACTGTGAACTAATAAAAAAGTAAAGAACTACATTAAATTGCCAGGAGACACATCTTCCTAAAGTGCCTTTGTCACATATGGTATAACAATGAAAATAGCCGAAATTGACTTCTGACTCCTGATACTTTTCAGGTGACTATAAAACAAATCCAAGTGCACACGACTGGTCGTAAAATAAGCTACGACACGTACACTGTAAGACTACAAAAAGCTTCAACTTAGTTATGAACAGCATATAATTTTCTCTTCGGGATAAAGTGTTGCTATTCTTGGGAGAAACGTTCCACGGCGTAATTGTGACAAATAAGAAACTGACTTCAACTAAGGAACTGCTTCACTGCATTCTTCATCATACCTATAGAATAGCAACAACAACAAAAACAGCAAAAAACAACGTTAGTAAACTAGCAGAAGAGAAGAATAGTGATTTCAGCTAGCGAAAAAAACATTTTGACAACTGGCTTCTAAGAGTGCGCTCGATTGATCGTATATATACCGGAAAACGAATACGCAAACGTTTTGTTACAAACCTCTTCCATACCGTACGTTTTTGGACCGTTTAAAGTTTATATAGATCAGATTACTTTATTTTAATCATTTTTGTAGATACTGCAATACAATGAAAGCCAAAACAAGTGATTTCATTCGAGTTTACCCCATTTTTTCTTATTTGGGACGCGGAAGACGGTGAATCGAAAACGCTCTAAATCTTTTAGAGCAAAGGGCCATATTAAAACTGGTAACTTCAACCCACGAGTAAACCTATTGTAGATTTAAATAAACTAGCATAGCATAAACCCTATCTCTCTTTCAAGCTCCCTCTCTCTGTTCATATATAATAAACGTATGATATATCAATCAATTTGTCACGACTATAACACTTCATGTGGACTGATCATCCAATATAGTTTATTCACGAGCTGGAAGTTCGGATTTGATTTTGACCTTCGGTTTGATGACCTCCAACTTCAGGTGCCTGGACTTTTCCACTTAGCGTTCTAGTTCTTTATGGGGAAATGATCTCAAAAACTTCATTTAATAAAATAAGCCCCTCGCTCAAACGTTCTTGAAATGAATAAACCCCCCGGAAGGCTTAATAGAAGATTAACCATATTTGGAGACTTTCCTAAACGACCACTCAACGTGAAATAACTGACCAAAATTTGATCTTGGCATTTTGGGTCGTCGCTTACGTCAAGATCGACTGTTAGTTCCAATGGAGCGAACTCAAACAAGGACGCCGAAACATTGAAATGTAAAAAAAATCATTAGATTTGAAATACATTTTGTAGTTTAACTGCCAAACAAACTACCAAAGTCAGGCTTCTTTGTAGCTGTCAACCTGTGATAGGCAGATTGACGTTATAAGTGGCATCGGTTGAGTTAGATCGTTGCCTTATAAGCGACAGAAATAATTCTTAAAATAACATTTGCAAAAGTAGGGATTATGATCCCAGGTCTAAATGTATACCAAAATACCTTGCTATTTAATCGATGCCTTCAAACTCAAGCGTTACGTCATCACCAATGAGAACAAACGGCGCCCAGTACTTCACTGCGTTAAAGCGGTGAGATTCTCTCATGGATTTCATGGCTATATTCAGGGCCTCACTGGCACTTCGTCCATGGACTAGTTGTTGGTAGAAAACTTTCATGAACTCCATAGTAGCTTCGTCATCGATCGCCCACAGGGATACCAGAACAGAACGAGCACCAGCACCCAAAAATGCCCGTGCGATGCCGACCACACCCTCAGATTTGACTTCTCCCTGAGCACTATGGCAGCAACTAAGTACAACAAGTCTTGCCCTAATCTGCGCCTTTAAAACATCTTGCATAGTTAAGAGATAGTCCTCCCTAGCTGGATTTCCGAATGATGAACGTGTTGTGCTAGGGGCCAAGGCAATTTCTCCTGTTTCCATTTTACCGTGAGCAGCAATGTGCACCAAAGCAACCGAGGAGATACGTCTCAAAACTTCATCTTTTGTTGCCTGCTTTCCAATGAGAGGTGCAGTTTGAAGTATTTCCCCAATCATCTGCACTTCTTTTTCAGCCCACTCTAACTGCTCTAGCGTCCTTCCCTCATAAACTACCTCCTGTACCCAGGGATCGCCGACGAGAAGAGCGCCAGTCTTGCTGTGCCAATCTGCTGGACTATTTTGGATTAATCGAAGACTAGAAAGTGAGGGAAGCAGACGAATTCTGAAAGTTTCACATAGGTACTTTGATTTCAAGTCCATTAAAGCAGCATAAGGCGCCAAATACAGAGGTCCTTGTGGAACGACCACAACCTCATCGCCCTGGAGTAAGTCTCTTATAGGGTCTATAACAGCATTGTAAAATGTTTGTAATGATTTTGTCTCAAAACATGAAGGATGAGACTTTGACTTAATGGTTTTTTCTTCTGCTAACTTTTTATCGTTTGGGTTCTTTAATGAGCGATCTTCACAAATAACATCAGCTCTCACACCTATTTCTTTATGTAGAGTTTCCAAAAGAGACTGAAAATAGTTTGTAGCAGGGATAACAATCTCGCTTCTTCTAGTTTTGATTTCTTTTCCTTTCTCGCTCACCCACAGAACTATTCCTCCTTCGTTGATAGCTATAAAAGCTGTATTTGAAGGTACGTAGCCAAAAAAGTCACTTGGTCTTGCAGAAAGTGTTCCTATATCTGAGCGTGGCCCTTTAAGGCCATACTTGAACTTCAGAAGATCGTTTAGAGCCTGTGCACGCCCTTGATCAGCAGTTAAAAGTGCCTCGATGACTTTACCTTCCTTAAACTGCAGCTCCCACAGCCTCAAATTAATATGGTCATACCTATTCCCAAGACTAATCTTCCATTCGTCATTAGATATGAGGTTTCCCCTGATGTGGTCGAAAGCAATAACATTCTTCTTATAATACTGAATGGCTTTCTGGACATTTCCAAGATTTCTAAAGGCGTTGCCAAGATTACCGTACGCTCTTCCTTCTCCTGCCCTGTCTCCCACTTCTTTCGAAATTTTGAGGTCTCGTTCATGGTACTCTATGGCTTTCTGGAAATCTCCAAGACTGTCATAGGCGTTGCCAAGATTACAGTACGCTCTTCCTTCTCCTGCCCTGTCTCCCACTTCTTTCGAAATTTTGAGGTGTCGTTCATGGTACTCTATGGCTTTCTGGAAATCTCCAAGATTTCTAAAGGCGTTGCCAAGATTACCGTACGCTCTTCCTTCTCCTGTCCTGTCTCCCACTTCTTTCGAAATTTTGAGGTCTCGTTCATGGTACTCTATGGCTTTCTGAAAATCTCCAAGACTGTCATAGGCGTTGCCAAGATTACCGTACGCTCTTCCTTCTCCTGCCCTGTTTCCCACTTCTTTCGAAATTTTGAGGTGTCGTTCATGGTACTCTATGGCTTTCTGAAAATCTCCAAGATTTCTAAAGGCGTTGCCAAGATTACAGTACGCTTTTCCTTCTCCTGCCCTGTCTCCGACTTCTTTCGAAATTTTGAGGTGTCGTTCATGGTACTCTATGGCTTTCTGAAAATCTCCAAGACTGTTATAGGCGTTGCCAAGATTACAGTACGCTTTTCCTTCTCCTGCCCTGTCTCCGACTTCTTTCGAAATTTTGAGATCTCGTTCATGGTACTCTATGGCTTTCTGAAAATCTCCAAGACTGTCATAGGCGTTGCCAAGATTGCCGTACGCTATTGCTTCTCCTGCCCTGTCTCCCAATTCTTTCAAAATTTTGAGGTGTCGTTCATGGTACTCTATGGCTCTCTGGAAATCTCCAAGACTTTCATAGGCGTTGCCAAGATTACAGTACGCTATTTCTTCTCCTGCCCTGTCTCCCACTTCTTTCGAAATTTTGAGGTCTCGTTCATGGTACTCTATGGCTTTCTGAAAATCTCCAAGACTGTCATAGGCGTTGCCAAGATCACCGTACGCTATTCCTTCTCCTGCCCTGTCTCCCAATTCTTTCGAAATTTTGAGGTGTCGTTCATGGTACTCTATGGCTCTCTGGAAATCTCCAAGACTGTCATAGGCGTTGCCAAGATTACAGTACGCTCTTCCTTCTCCTGCCCTGTCTCCCACTTCTTTCGAAATTTTGAGGTGTCGTTCATGGTACTCTATGGCTTTCCGGAGATGTCCAAGACTGTAATAGGCGCTGCCAGGATTACAGTATGCTGTTCGTTCTCTTGCCTTATCTCCCACTTCTCTTGATATTTTGAGGTCTTGTTCATGGCGGTCTATAGCGTTCTTGAAATCTTTGGCGTCGCTAATATGACTATTTCCTTTTTCTTCCCCTCTCCTCTTTCCAACTTCATTGGCAATCCCGTTGTTTTCAAGATTACAATTAGCCTCTGTTTGTCCTTTCTCAGCCATTCCAATAATAATTTGCGGATAAGATCTACTGCTTTTCAAGAAGATAGTTGTGGCTGTGACATTTTTGCTGGCCTTGCTATTTCAGCTCTTCTGCAAAAAAGTATACTAGATATGTTGTGATTTGATTCTTTCGTTGATACTATATTTCTCTTTATGTACGACAACGTACGATAACGGAGACTAAAAGTAGAATTAAAACCCAGCATAAAAGCTTACTTAGAATTCGCTCCTGTATTATTTTATTTTTTCTATCGCAGTTGCATTTGGTTTGCCACAAATAGTTAGCCTTCTACGTGTTTTTTGGCGTCGTGTAATAATAATAATAATAATAATAATAATAATAATAATATTCTTTATTGAGGATATCAATTTCACTGATAAGTGATTTACAAAAGAGTCCTCAAAAATTAAAAAAGAACAAAAAGGAAAAATAAAGACTAATATATGAATATATAAAAATTAAACTAAAAACTATTTACATTTCTGAACACTCTTTTAAAACTAGCTAATGATGGGCTTTGTCTGATTGAAAGGTCCAATTTATTCCAATCGTTTGAGGCAAAGTTTGTCGACGTCCAATGGCCCCAGTTCTTACGGATATTGTTTTTACATCTAGTATTAGAATCATGTTTATCCTTATTGAATTCAATATTAAAACGACGTGAAAATAAGTTATTCAAACATTTATAAATAAAAGTTTCCCTATGCTCGACCCTACGTCTTGCGAGAGTTTTCCAATTCAGTTTATTCAGGGCCTCACTCCCGCCCCCCTCTCCCTCTGGCCCCTGGCTCATGCTTGGCTCCAGCTTAAATCTTACTCGGTGTAAAAACCTGGGAAGTGTTTCGTTTTTTCCTTTTTAACTGCTGCTTCCCTTAGTATAGCTCTGCTATCTTGACTTCTTTGAGTTCCTTTGTGTTATATCACTTAGGAAGATTGCAAGTTCTTTTTCAATACATCCGTTCGAGAATGAGCCGGATTAGAAAGATTTCTGTTTGCAGCTTGCGCTTATAATTTAACACAAATGATGAATATGACTATGAGTACGTACAGTTGAACGTCCATTAAGCGGCCACCCTCGGGATACCAGCCAGGGTTAAGGGAGGTTGGCCTCTCAATGGAGGTTCGTCGTAGACCATGTCATAAATTAGCATAATCTTTATAACCGAGCGGAAACATCACTTTATTTTAAAACAAACACGCAACGGGGGCAGCATTACTGGTCCTCAATCGGTCGTCACCTTCTATCTCGGTCTGTTTTCCTTCGTCATATTCTTAAAATAAAGGCAAATTTAGTTCGTCAAGTGTTCTTAGTGATAGCCGCTTAATAGAGGTGACAACGATAGGAAAACTCTCGTTGGAAAGGCAAAAAGGTGGCCGCGATCACTTCATAGAGGTGACCGCTCAGTAGAGGTTTAATTTCCCATTCTTTACTACAATTATTTCGGGACTTTGATTACTGGCCGCTTAATGGAGGTTTAACTGTATACAGAGTGGGATAAGATGGATGCTTCAGTAATAAATCAGTGAAAGGGCTGAGAGGAAATCCCCCGGGGGGGGGGGTACTTTAGGAATTTCTGGGAAGGGATGTTCCGCCGGGACCCTGGAATTCTTAACCTATACCAGAGCTAGTTCAGCTAAATTTTGCTACCCTATACTAGAGTAAACTCCCCAAATCCCCCCTATCCTAGAGTAGTTGTTTCCCTAGTCTAGATAAAATCTTGAACCAACTGATCAGTTTCCTGAAAAATGATGCCCCATTCTAGACCCAAATGTTCTGATTTATATACCCTATCCTAGAGTAAACTGCTTGAAAACCATACCCTTCACAGCGGCACATACCTATATAGCCCATATATGGCAGTACCCCCCCCCCCGGGGGGGAATCCTATATGATGGGAACTAAAAGACCATAGACAACCTGGCCTTATTAAACAGACATGCTTTGACAAAAGTTTCCTGGAGATTAACAACCATATACCTATACCTGGCAGCTTTTTCTGGCTCAAATGCGTGAGATTTTCGCCATGCCATGATCGCGTAATTTTCGAAAACGTCCCAGCGTCTTCGGAGGATTTTTGATAATTTCCGAAGCCTTGTAAACTTTACCGATAACTCCCGAAGATGTTCCAACGACCTTTGAGCACTAAAAGACACGATAACTTCAGCGTGTTTTGATTTCGTTAGGACACAAAGTCATCATTCAAAGCCCTTTTGGAATATATTTGTGGAAATCGAATTAAATTTTCGTTATTAATCATGTATTAAATAACAATTTGAGTGGAATTGTGAGTCAGCACGGTGAGAAATAGACCTTGTCACGGTTTTCGACGCCATCTTGACGAGTAGGCAAACGCGTGAGAAATTACAGTGTTTGTATGAGAATCTAATGTCGAATAATTTCCGCAAAAAGGCTGTTCTGAAAAAAATATCAATTGTAAACTAAAGCTACAAAGCAAAGGATTGTCCTAAAAAATTTGGGGGGCGTACCCGTGCCTAAATTTCCCCAGAGGCTTGCTTTAGATTTTCCATGTATTTGTCTGTAATTTTCCCGGGACTTTCCTACAGCCAAATGTATAGAAAAATTTAAAAAATGGTTCTAGGTCTTCTAGTACATGTAACGCCCTTAAAGTTTTTCAGGAGAATCCCTAGGAGTGAAGCTTTAGTTTACAACTGATATTTTTTTCAGAACAGCCGTTTTACGGAAATTATTCGACATTAGATTCTCATACAAACACTGTAATTTCTCACGCGTTTGCCTACTCCTCAAGGTGGTCCAAGATGGCGTCGAAAACCGTGACAAGGTCCGATTGCCTTGTGCGCGAGATCGATGTCGCGTATGATGCGTGAGAGTTGGCAGGTATACAACCAAATATAATGCATTTCTAAGGTAAAGGAACCTTGGAGTTGTAGTGTAACTTCAGCTAATGCAATGCCTACCTCAGTTATCAATTCCTAAGTAGTCTTGATACTTCGCTTGATTTGTCACGATGAAAGGGTCTACAATGAAACAGAATGAAATCATACTTCGTAAGACAAGTTTTCAGTATCAAAGTCAATTGTATTTTCATACACAAAATAACAGGAGTTATATAAAACGTACCTGTGTTAAAGCAACAATCAACCCTTCTACGAAGAAAAAGTTGAACCTATGGGATTTTTCCCTTCCTTTATAATGCAGCTTTCAATTTCACTTTGATCAAATTACGTCAACAAAAGTGACGCAAGTGCTTCCAGAAATAGCTCCAAAATGCAGCCACCCATGAAAATTTGAAAACTTAAAAACATACGTGGGGCACATTAAGTCTAATGTACAGTTATTTTAAAATATTTCCCTAAACGAAATAAAAAAAAGCTCACAACGAGATCTTATAACAGATGCTGTAGCTTTTTGATGGAATCTTCCACTAAGGAAGTTGGAATGATACTTCCTGTTTTTCTCCGAACACTGCCGGAAGTGACCTTCTAATGAGACTCACACTTTGTGTGTGACTTGAAGTCAAATCGAACGTCACAGATTTGCTGTCATATGCGCTACCCCTGGGACTTGCTTGACAACCGGGCTGGTGACAAATTTCAGTCGTAATATTTCGAAAGATAGTTTTCCTTCAAACTCCTCCCAATTTTCTATATCCGCTACAATTTTATCAAAGGTGCTATGGTTACAGCATTACATGATATTGAGGCAGTTTGCCAGTTTCAATCATCTACTGATCCCATCGTATCAACTTACCAACCCCTCCCTCCCCGCTTCCTTCCAATCTCTTACCTCTTTTGACGACTACTACGCAGCCTAGACAGATTCACTCTTTCCGTGCTCATCAGTATAAGTAAACCGCTCAGGGTTTTTCTCTCTTCGGAATGGGATTTCATTGATGATCCTGTTTGATCAATATCCATATTTTGAAAAACCGGAAAAGAGCATGCGTGACGGGGATAGGTTCTAGGGTTACGCTTCAAAGTTGTATGCTGCTTTAAAGTATTGTTTCAGGCCTGGTATTGTTTGGTAGCCAGTTGCGCTGGCTCCACTAGCACTGTAAGCAGTTCCTCAGATAAATGTAATCCCAAATCACTGACGGATTCCACTAGTAGTAATAGGGGCGTAAGAAGCTGGTTCAGCTGTGATGCGGAGTAGGACTGGAACTAGTTGGCCTTTCTGCTCTCGATCCGCTGTCACGGCAAGAAAAATGGCGCCGTCTAGGTGGAGGTAGGTTCGGATTTATAGCTTTACATCTTTAGATCGCTGCAATCTATAATTAGATTTGATAATTGGCGTATTTCTATGCGATATACAGAAAATATTTAGGTGATATTTTATAGTTAGTCTTATTAGTTAAGGTGTTTTTTCGCCTTTTATGTAGTGTCTAGCTGAATTTTTGAAAACATAACTCAAAATGGGCCAGAATATTCGCACAGAAACCTGGCGATAGCCAGGTTTCTGGTCCGACTGCGGTGAGAAAAACCATAGGGGGCTTGCTGTCCTGGTTGGTCTCATTGTCAAGCTCAGTCCCTGAGCTAACTCGCCATGGGTTGGAAAGGGGCCTCCATGTCAATCCCTAGGGGGGGAGGGTGCTGCAAAATCGTGGTACCTTCCGTTAGTCCTGCTCTGGGAGAGTCAGTGCACTGGTCATGTCTGCCTTTAGTTTGTCATGTCAAATTCTTGTAACGTTTGAGGCCCATTGGCCAATGAAAGCATTCCCCTCAAGCACGTGCTAGGCTGGGCAGGGGGGGGGGTGGAGGAAGTCAGGGGGGTGATTTAACCTTGAATTCTCTGCTTAGAACTTGGTTAAGTCTCAAGCGTCCTCCGTCATTTAGGGCCTTTAAGCAGCTAGGGTGTACGGACAAGTCCAGAGTGTCTTTTTGATGGACTTGAAAGTTTCTTTTGCTAATCAGGAACCAAGAAGAGGGACACCTTAAGAGAACCATGGGTAAGAGCTGAGTTTCTTGGCGATATTTACTCTAGTTGAGTCAGTTTAAGGTGTGTGGGCTCCTGGAGTCCGATGGTACGGTTTTCATAAATCCGGCTAGAGTGTCAAAATTGCCTATCGAATATTACAGGTTGAAGGTCGCGTTTTATCTTGCCAGTCAAAACCAAATGATAATAAAGGGCTACTAAAAAAAATATGTTATGGTTTTATAAATTTTGTTTGTGCATGCAAATTTTTAGAGTGAACTTTTATGAACTTTTAAGGTTTCTTTACTTCTGAAGTGACGACTTCATAATGGCAATAGCAAGGTTTTTGTTGTACGTTGGCGTTTAGCTTGTTAGTAAAATAAAGGATTTCAGTTGCCCAATTCAGCGGTTTTTCTTTCTTTAATATACACTAAGATGGTATATACATTGTTTTTAGTTACAGAACCACAATCCAAGAAGGTTCTGACTATTTTTAAAGTTCTACTAGAAAATTGCATTCGAATGATCTCGTGTGACAGTCTTTACATGAACAACAACAAATTCTGCTTCACTGCGGTATAAATCTAAAGGTTGTATTGCACAGAAACAGAATGAAGCCTATCAATTATTTACTACCGCTCTCGGCATAGACCAATAATTGATTTGCTCCTAACTGATCGTAACTGACGAAACACATAACGTTTCTCTCCCTCCTCCAATAATAGTTAATTATTTGTTTTTGTAGAGAATGGTGCAGCGTGGCATCCTTACTTGTCCTTCAGGGTGTAATTGTGACGTCCTCACTAGATGTGGTCAAAAGTATCCACAGCCCTATTGACTAGTTCTTAGAGAAAGGTTGCTTAGGAAAAGTGATTTTAGTTGGCATATCTTATTTATCTTATCGAGAACTCCACGCACTGAAAGTTTTAGATCTTAAAATTTGGCTTAAGTTCACAAGTATCAGAAGTATTGCGGCAAAATAGTTCTTGATGTGTTCTTGATGTGTTCTTTCGTGTGTTCAGGTTTTCTAAAGCGTCTTTAGATGCCCCGCCCCGAAATCTTCATTCATAACATTTTGAATTTTCTACTTCATCTTGGCACTGAGACGTACGGAACGTCAGTGCCATCAATGGCAATTTTGTAATTTCACAAGTGAAATTATAAATTAACGCTGAAATTTCGCGCCAAAATTAAGGACTAATCTATCACCCACGACGATGCGTGTTGGTTCCCGCTCACCCGGTTGTCATGGTTACCTCCCGTGATACCTTGCGGCTCCCTTCTTTTGACCAGGCTCCTTCCCCACACCCATCTACTGGCGAGGGGTTTAATCAAGGACTAGCTACGTCGTGTCTTCTTCCTCTTGAATTTTTTTGCTAAATTTTTTAAGTCTGTTTTTCGCATCCATACTTATATCCTCAACAACCCTTAATTTATTATAGTGACTAATAACTCTGTGCATGAATTATTTGTTTGCCTTGCAAGTCTGTTTGCAAGAAATAAATTTATATACATATAAATAAAACTGTTATACATTGCACTTACTACGTGCCTTCTCATTAGCTAAGAGCCTACAGTTTATTTTGAAAATAAGCGCAACCTACAGATTAGTTAATTATCTGCTAGCAGATAACTGACTTGTCTGCAGTTCGCGTGCACACTGATGATTCCCAAGAGCAATGTCAAACTATGTTCCGGGCGACGGTGTGTTGTTATTTTCTTCAAAACAATGTATGACTAGATTAGCTTTATGTAATACCCGGAATAATCAAGGTCTCGGTAAGTGTTATGAGCCTCAGCCTTTGGCCCGGCTGGTAACACCTAGACCTTTGATTATTCCGGATATCACAAAATCTCATTCAATAGGCGTTCAATATAGGCACTGGTTAACATGACTATGTTTGGAAATATGATTAAAATTTGCAGTATTGCATGCTTCACGATTGACCAGGTGTGTACTTAAGCTTGACTCTGCCCATGCCTGGAGAGGAAAATCTATAAATGTCTACAATCGCACCTATTCACTATTTATGTGTTTTTGGGGTGAGAGAAGATTGGAGATTGGAGATTGGAGAGAAGATTGAGGCGCGCGGGGATGAATAAATAGCGACTGGGTACGAGTCTGGAGTAGTTGGCCGAGAGGGATTGGCGAAATAATTCCCAATCCTAACTTCCGCTTGATATTTACTTCCGTTTTTCTGGGTTTCAGTCCTCACTCCTACTCTTTTATTAACATCACGGTTGGAATACCCGTTACCCATTCACACTGCGACGAAGAGTTGCACAGAAACCTATCCGATATGAGACGATCCACTTTCTAGATCGGTACTGCTCAATTGAAAGTGGCAAGATTGCTAGGATTAACGATGAAATTCTAGCTTTGATAAATATGGACAAAAGTTTCCTTTGCTGTTTCAAAAGTACATTTCTGGATGTCGAAAATTGGTTTGAATACGTTTTTGTTTAACTGAGTCATTTGGCTGCCAAGAGACCCGTGACACGGTTATGGGTCACTACCATGGTACTCTTTGAAAATATAGCGGAATGAGTTTTTGGCGCCTTTATGCTTCTTATGACGTTGTATGGCGAAACGAGGTCAAATGGTTTTCATCAAACTTCTGCTTGAAAGTTGGGTTTCCTTGCTTGAAAACCGATTAACCTAGCGGGATAATTTGATGACAGAATGTGAAAAACGTCCTAGAATCAAAAATGTTTAGCGCCTCTGAGGGGGGAGTGGTTTGGTAATCAAATATTATTGATCATTCCAATTCAAGGAGAAGTTGTTTTAAAATGGTTTAAGGCATCGAAGAGATCAACAATCACAGTAAACATCTCGTTTTCTTCAGGTTTAATACAACATTACTTCTCTGAAGGTTACATCAGAAACTAAACATTGTATCGTGCAACGCGTTGGGATCAAGTAGAAGCAGTTCAACAAGCCGACCTATAAATCACCGTAAGAGAATCCACGATGGTATGGGATTCTGGATTCCACGTCACGGATTCCGGATTACAGGTACTCGTTTCAAGTCTTTGTCAGTGGAACTTGAATTCTCAATTCCAATTGCTATTGGGAGTCCAGATTCTTTGAGCTGCATTCCGGACTCCAAAGTCCAGGATTCTGGATTTCCCAGATTCCAGATTCCGTTACATGGGGCGGTATAAGGGATGAACCATTAGGAAAGTAAAGGGGCTGGGTTGAATTTTTGGGAGGTCTATGAAAGTTTTCTTTTTACCCCTGAGGTGGAAATCTATTTTTCCTCCTCGAACAGCTTTTTTGATCATGGTCCGTGTGTAAATTTTTTTCTTACTAATGAGTTTGCCTTCCCCCAACCTCCTATCCTTTTTTTCTAATGGTGACATCCCTAAATTAAAGCAGCTCCGTTAAATAAGTGAGGGATGGCTAAAAGTCAATGGCCTAGAGAAAAGCGATCTAGAAGCAGTAAAAATAGGTCAGATTCTCAATAGAATGCCAAACTTCAGAACGTTACTCTATACGGTTTCTGGAACTGATCTATTTGATTAAAAAGCCCAACTTTTACAACCTAGCACAATTACAACAAAACTTCATTAAGTTATTGGAGCGTCGAAAATCTTAATCTAAGTCTTCCACTGTTTGGATACTTTAAAATCGACATCAATTAAAGCTGCTGGAGCACTAACGCAATAATACACGAAAACGTTTTTATGATTGAAATGACTCGCAGTAATTAAGAAGCAAGATTAAGAGTTAAACCTAGTTTAATGGCAGAACAAATAGTCTACGAGTGCAGAGACAGAGGCGGATTCAGCTCTACAAGGAAGTGGTGGTGAGAAAATAGAGAAGGAAAATAAATCTTGTTTTTGGATGAAAATTAGATTTCGGGCCCTTTTTCCTTTGTTTGCCGGCATAGATGGACTATCTGGCAACGCTTTTCCTAAAAAAGGGTTATTAAAATAAGGCAAAAGTCACTCTAATGATTCTTAGACGGTCCAATTTGCCAGCGGTCACTCGCTCCTATCTCTGCGCAGGCTATTCAATGTATCGTCTAAAACTTACTCTTAAAACTACGAGCATATTTATTCCAAAACATGGAAGGCTAAATGTTTACTCTTTGTATGAAACGCTAACAATTTATCCATATAAGTTAAGCTCGCCCCTGGAATCCCACTTTACTTAAATTTAAAAGCAGTTTTAATTAAGTGACACAATGTGTGTCCCAATTTATAGCATCAGTACAGAATGCAGACTGCTCTCAGTGCAAAACATTGTTTTTACCATGCAAATGGGAACGTGACAACAATAGTCCCATTGACAAGTGCATATGAAATAAATCGTATATGAGAACTGCGGAAATGAAATCAAACGAAGAATGATCCTCGCAGTTGTGAACGCAATTTATGCAATAATTGCGTAAGAAGGCTGAAAAAAAAATTTAGGACTTCAACGGGATTTGGACCAGTGACCTCGCGATATCTGCAGTCTGCATTTTGTACTGTCCACCAATTTATACACGAAGGATCAACAAGACATGAACATATTCATTTTTTTTATATAAAATAATTACTACTTCTGGGAAACCGGGGATCAATCATTGAAAACCTAATACACCCTTTTAACCTTAAACCACTGAATTGTGACCAAAATACTTACAGTGCATACTTAAAATTTTCAAAATTATCTGATTAAAATCTGAATCACTCTACTGAAACCACGGCCACGCTTGTAAATAGTTAATTGTTTCGTCTCCGTCGCGTTGGGATTCTTAACTCTCGGACGTTCAAGGGGGGGGGGGGTCTCCCCTCCTCTGAGGTTTTTTAGATTTTTTTTAGACGATAAAACATCAGCACCTGACGTTTTCAGTAGCTGTTAGTTTATTCCTCGCTCGCATTTTGAGGAAAGTTTAGGGAGGGTCAGTTACTATGGTTACGAGATATGACGTCATAAGTGGCAGGTGGTCAAGCCATTTTTGAGTGAAAATGCATGTTCTTTCAACTTTTTTTCAACAATAAAAGTAAAACTTGTCAGTGAAATGACGCAAAGGGCTTATTTGTGTCTTATTTTGCATGTGAAGCACAAAAAATTACCATTTATCGCGATTTTGACTTGATTTCTGATTCTAGGTAAAATCCAGAATGGCGGTCAAGATGGCGACCATTGTTGGTGAAGTCACAGGTCTCCAGCAGCGTCACCACCCATAAAATATACCTCATTTTGCTGAGTAGATCAAAGGCTTTTCACTGAAGGCAAAATCGTTTCAAAATACTGCAACATATCAAAAACTCTGTTAAGGAGTTCGATCCACCCAACCCGCGCCCCCCCCCCCCTGCCCCTCGTACCACGGTGGGGGTTTGCGTGTACGTCCGAGGGTTAACCCTATTAAATTAATTTGAATTTTTTGTTTCAGTCATTTGCTTTAAAGCCGAGGGGAAAAAACTGAAAAGGAATTATTAAGATTATGATGATGGTGATTATCATTATCATCAATATTACGATTATTACAACGCAATTTTCCTTTGCCAAATTATAATTTGCCGGTTAAGGCAGGTTACTCGAGAAAAGGGGCAACCATCCATACTACTACTCAGTCAGTTTCGCGGGAGTAACGAAATACTTGTAAACAACGTTAAGTTCTTTCCCCACGAAAATTCTCTGTCTTTTTCCTAAGTTAAAATTAATAAGTGTAACCGTGGCTGATTTAAAAACGTTTTTTTGATGAGTATTAATTAGAGAGATTTAGAGTTACGTTTACGGCAAAGCGTGGATTTGCACCACGTGACCAAGTATTCCCTTCACTTCTCGTTTGCTGTTAATTAAATCTACAAAAAATGTTAGTTTCAAGTTAGTTTTATCCATAAAAGTTGCTTTGAGCTGTATTCATTTTATCTGCATATTTTCTATTTTAAGAAATTCTTAACTTGAATTTGCTGACGTTTGCCGTTCGCCGTTAGCGTCGCTCTAAATCTCTCTAATATCGTCTGAAAAAATGACTAAAATAAAACACGCTTTTTTACCAAACGTCCCATTGAGGACATTCCTCAATTAAATAACGAACTGCCTTCTTTGGGGAAATCCAGATATATACACGCTACTTCAGCAGTTGTGTTGACATCAAACTTTCAGCTCATCCCTGTAAAGAAAGTAGCAATTGAGGCATTAATTCACATTTTTTTAAAATTAAATTAAGATCAAAGCGGTAAATTTTAGGATGCCTTGAATGATGATGTGAAAAATGGCAAAATGAGAAACATTTGTCATATTAGACATGTTTGTTTTTCATGAAGCTATTAATTATTGGTCAACAAAGCTCAACATATAGAGCTAGTACTCTAAGAAATTGAAGGCAGCTTATTGCAAAGTGTATCTTTCACATATATTGTCCCTAAATTATCTAAGAATTGAGAAAAGTAGGGTGATCTAGTGTTCGAATGATTTCTAAAGATTTGCTTGGTAGGAATAACATGTGATTGTGTGAAGCCATTAACGGTACATAATTAGCACACCTATCCTTACTGTGTATACATTTCTCTTTTTTTCCCCGTTATTATCAAGTCTGCCAATATTCTTACATTTCAAGTTGAAAATAATAGTTCTGACTTTTCTTCTTGAGCCTTCTATTTCTAGGACCCTTAATAAAGAAAAGCAAGAGAAAAGTAATAAAAACTCTCTACTTACAATTTCCTCAATGTTTCTTCTTCAATTCAATCTTAACATCATCACCAATCAGAACAAATGGAGCCCAGTACTTCGGGGCAGAAAAATCGTGGGAGTCTCGAAGACATTTCATGGCCCTCTGAAGAGCAACACTTGCACTTTCTCCACTTCCAAGTTGTTGGTAGAAAGATTCCATAAACATCATTGTGGCTTCGTCATCAATTGCCCAAAGTGTCGCCAGCACGGAACGAGCACCAGCAAACAAGAAAGCACGTGCCATACCGACCACACCCTCAGACGATACCTTTCCTTGACCACTGTGGCTGCAACTTAGCACAACCAGTCTCGCTCTCAGCTTAACAGCTTGTATGTCAGACATTTTCATAATGCAGTCCTCCTCCTTAGGAGGCTTGGATTCCCATCGGGGGTCTGGGGCCAAAACAATTTCTCCGGTTTCCGGCCTTCCGTGGGCTGCAATGTGAACCAAAGCAACTGACCCGATTCTCTGAAGTACCGCTTCTTTGGTTGCATCTTCACCTGTTAAAGGTTGACTCTCTAGAATTTCTCCAATCATCTCCACTTCCATTCTTGCATACTTAAGTGGATCATAAATGGGCTTCCCCCTTTTATTTTTAACTTTCTCCAAACATGGATCTCCGACAAGTAAGGCTCCACTTTTACTGTGGTATTCAATTGGAGAATCTGTGATGACTTTCAAACTTGTCAGAGAGGGAACAGTCCGGATCCTTAAAGTTTCACTCAGGGCTGCCCAAGGAGCTTTAGACAAAGCGCCATCAGGAACTACAATTAGTTCATCACCATCAAGCAAGTCTTCAATGGGACCAAGAACTGCATCATATAATGGCTGTAAAAAGTCGATGGTCTCCTGTGATGGCTCCGATGTTTGATTGTCGTCTCGAGTACTTGAGGGAGTTGAGTCATCACTCAGCTTATCCATTGACCGATTTTCATCAGGAACTACAATTAGCTCATCACCATCAAGCAAGTCTTCAATGGGACCAATAACTGGATCATATAATGGCTGTAAAGAGTCATCACTCAGCTTATCCATTTCGCACCTGATACCGACGCCAGCCCCAATATTTTTCAAAACGGTTTCTAGAAGGAGAACAAAAGAATCTTCGCCTTCACTTCCAATATCCAGCCTCTTTCGCCTAGAAACAGGCTTGCCTTCTTTTCGTAATACCCACATATTGACTGTTTTCTTTTGCAGGGCAAGGAAAACTGTGAAAACAGTTGTCTTCCTTGAAATATTTCTGACTTCTTCTCCAGATTCAATTGAACTGGGAGAAAGTGATGTAAGGCCATAAGTTACTTTTAACGCATCGAGCAAAGCCTGTGCTCGTCCCCTCTCAGCAGCGTATAAAGCCTCATCATTCCTTTCAAGCTTTACTAAAACTTGCCATAAAAGAGTATAGGCACATTGATGACGCGTACAGAAACTTATTTTCAATTGATCTTCCGAGATAGAATTGGCTCTAATAGTGTCATAGATTTTAACACAGCATCTAAAATGTTCTAAAGCCTCATTCAAAGAATCTGAATACAAAAAAGATTGACCCAGTTTGCTATGGGCACATGCTTCTGCCATCCTGTCACCGATTTCCTCGGAAATGGTCAGGTGTTTCTTGTAACACTCTATTGCTTTCTTTAAGTCGTGGAGATTTGTATAACAACTTCCGAGGCGGCAATAGGCACCTCCCTGTCCATCCCTGTCACAAATTTCCTCGGCATTACTCAGGCATTGCTTGAAGTACTCCATTGCTCGTGACACGTCGCCGAAGGATCTATAAATGTCGCCGATCTTTAAATAGGCACGTCCTTTTCCTTTTCTGTCACCGACTTCCTCGGCAATGGTCAGGTGTTTCTTGTGGCACTCCATTGCTCGTGGGAATTCTTGAAGGCTGTGATAAGCAGCGCCGAGATTGGAATAGGCTTTGCCTTGCCCTGCCCTGTTACCATCTTCCTTGGCAATGATGAGGCATTTATTGGTGTACTCTATTGCTCGTTGGTATTCGCCGAGAATTAAATAAATATTGCCGAGCATGCCATAGCCTTCCGCTTGCCCTGCCCTGTCACCAACTTCCTTGGCAATGATGAGGTATTTATTGTTGTACTCCATTGCTCTTTGGAATTCATAAAGGCTGTGATAAGTAGCGCCGAGATTGCCATAGGCTTTGCCTTGCCCTTCCCTGTCACCAACTTCCTTGGCAATGATGAGGTATTTATTGTTGTACTCTATTGCCCTTTGGAATTCATTAAGGCGGTGATAAGTAGCGCCGAGACCGCCATAAGCTTTGCCTTGCCCTTTCCTGTCACCAACTTCCTTGGCAATGCTGAGGTGTTGATTGTGGTACTCTATTGCTCGCTGGAATTCGCTGAGGGAGTCATATGCACAGCCTAGATTGCCATAGGCACATCCCTCACCTGCCCTGTCACCAATTTCCTTGGCAATGCTGAGGTGTTGTTTGTGGTACTCTATTGCTTGATGGAAGTCCCCGAGGGAGTAGTAAGCTCTGCCTAGATTGCAGTAGGCATCTGCTTGCTCTGCCGTGTTTTTATTGATTTGCGCTTTTGTAAGACGCTTTTTTTGTTCTGCTATATCTTGTAGTATTCTTTCTGCCATTTCGAAGTTTTAGTATTAAAACTTGGAACTGTTTCTTGGGAGCAAGGTTTCTTTAGAGGTGCGTGGAGGTGGAGAAAAAGCAAAATAACTGTCATTAGTATATTTGAAGTCTTTTGAAATACTTTGTCTCTATTTAGACAGATAAGACATGATAGAATTTTTCACTTCTTCCTCCCTATAGATTTCTAACAGACGCATCTCTGGAATTGTTCCGTCTGTTTTGACTCTGTTTTTACACAATATTTCATTCAGAATCTCTTGAAACTTTTTTCTATAAATTAAGATGAAAATACCTTTAAAAAATCATTTATGTGTACTCTAAGAAGGGATTCAGACACAACTAATCATTTTTTGAACTCCTGTGATACCAAATGAAAACAGAAATAAGTATTCGTCACTTTCAATAAAGATGCGCGAAATTTTTATCCCCGTTGTGCAAAGTATCAACAGGAAAACTTGATACAGGGCGCGCGTTTGGTCAATAAAGGCGGGAAAATTAGCAAATTAAAATAGAAACAAACAAACTCCGACAAAGAGCACGAAAAAAAATTGCATAGTTCCCGAAAGAAAAGAAATAAGGGCTGTTTGTGTTTTGACACCCCGTTTATTCAGTCATTCAACATTAAGATCAAGGTTAAGTCGCTAAGAAATGGTCACATTTCTTTTTGTTTTGCTTCTGAGAATTTATTTTCAGCTCTCATGAGTCGAAAAGGTGCTGAACTGTGCACAGAGACGAAAGAATTAATTATTACACTGTCAGAATCCGTAAAAAACAAAGCGGAACTGTCAAGAATGTTGAACATTCCAAGAACGACTATCACGAGCGTTCTAAGCAAGTACCGGAGTTTACCTCGGTGTAAGAACCTGTGAACTTTTTCTTTGTTTCGCACCTTTTCTGTTTGTACGTTCTATTGTGTTGACTTCGTTGTTTCCTTTGTTTTACGTCACTTGTGAGTTTAACAGGTTCTTACACCGAGGATGAGCCAAGTACCGAAGGACTGGCACAGTGGAGACTTTGACGCGAAGTGGCAGGAAAACTGAGGAGCTTCAAAAACAGAGACAGAAATGCTTTAAAAGTAACAGACGACTTCCCGTAAAGAACATTACTGCAAAGCTAAACGAGTGCAAAACAAAGACTTTCAGCCAGAAAACCGTGCAAAGGGTGTTGCATTCGGAAGGATATAAAAGAAGGTTAGCTAAAAAGGAAATGGTGGTTCGGGAAGCGAATCAAAAAAGTGAGTCAAGTGGTGTAAAGAGCGAAGAGGTCGGACAGTAGACAGCTACTGGGAAAAAGTAATGTTTTCAGATGAAAGTCAGATCGTGCTCGGTACAAACAATCGTGTTTACATTTGGCGAAAAGACGACGAAAAGTACTACCGAAATCTTAGTTGTTCTCGCTCCGCTCTGAACGGAAGATAAGTTTGATGATCTGGGGATGTATTTGTTATGACGGTGTTGGAACTCTGACTGCAGTTGAAGGCAACATCAACTCTGCCAAGTACATTGACTTCCTAGATAAGAGCTTATGGCCAGTAGTTGTCTGGTATTTTGAAGGAAAAGAATACTTGTTTATGGATGACAATGCGCCTGTTCACAGAGGCCAAACTGTAAAAAATGATATAGATCATAACGAAGTAACCTCAATGGAATGGCCAGCACAATCACTAGATTTAAATATAATAGAAAATATCTGGCTCTACATGAAGAGAGAGCTACAAAAGTCCGCGGTAGATATCCTAACCAAAAATGATCTTCTGCGTGAAATCCAGAGCGTGTGGTGGAACATCGAATTGGCCGGATTATATAAGAAACCTTTACCAGTCCATACCTGACCGCGTAGAAAATGTAATTCAAATAAAGGGTCATCTTACTAAATATTAAGGTGATTTTAAAGTTAGATTTGCCGAAAATGGTGTTAAAACTAGCGCGCGTAAAATGTAAACAAACGCCGCCATATTGAAAGTGACGAATACCTATGTCCCCGGACTGTAGTTGAGAACTTCTGCCTGAGGGAGGCTTGGAAATAGGTGTCGGTCGATTTTGCACAAATTGGGTGCACTTAGTTACCATGGAGACATCCACATTATGCCAATGTTTTAGCTCTATTGTCCCTGTTTTAGTCTGAGGTGTAGATTAGCTCTTTGGGCCGGGTTTTTAGCGTCAATTTTGAGGGTTTTGCATAATTCAACTTCAATATATGGATCGGAACATTTTCAGCCAAATCAAGAGTCATTTCTTATTAACTCTATCCCCAAGGTTTTTGTTTAGTTCCATGTCGTGTACGGATGGCAAGAGAAGCTGCAAAAGGCCCGAAGTTAAGTCCAGTTAAGTTGAAATTATAAAATTCTTACATGAGTACAAAGTGTAGACCTTTTTATCTAAACACCAAGAACAAAATACTAAGGTTACACGGCTTCCTCACTCTGCAGCCATGCTTTGATGATTCTATTATAGCCAGAACACTCTCCAATTTAGTTGACATAAATTGTTTTGTTTTTTCTGAGGGGATGCCGGGGGATGGGGGGGCGGGGGTGGGAGCGGGCTGTACAGGCTAAGTCCAGAGAAATGGGGCTCGGTCTAATCCTCGAAAATGAGTCTGCTGCCCGGCGACAATAACATTACGTGCAAATTTCAGAGAGACCACAAACTAGAAAACCACAACAAATTTTAAATTGTTTGCCTTACATAGAGCAGAAATAAAAGCGATTTAATTCATCAACAGTAATTTTCTGAAAACCTTTCCGCAATGAACACTGAAAAATTTAAAAGGCAGCTGTTTGAGGAAAGATGTCTTGACTAAGTTCATGACCTCAATTTCTTATTAATCGATGCAAGACTTAGTTTCACAAATTTATGTACAAAGCAGGTCTTTAGCAGGTCGTTAGCTATTGTAATAAAAATGAAAATTATTATAAATCTGCGACGTCTACAACATGAGAGATCCAGTAGACATATTAAATTATGTAAGCAGAATACTGCAATGCTGATCGTACTACGTGAAAATTATTAACTCTGCAAGACATCAACACGACACCGAAAGAACTCAAAACAGAGCGGGATTGTAGCCATAGAGAGATCCACATTAACAGAAATGATCCTGAATATCCGGCTTTGCTCGTGTTAGGAGGAGTAGGGGTGGGGTTGGTTTAGCGGGGGGAGTGGGGGTGAAAAGGAAGTGGAAGAAAGAAGCAGAAAAGGGAGACAACGAAGGGAGAGACACACAAATCGGCCAAAACAATATTCTAGTAGGACATTTTGCTTAACATGAAACAAACATACTTTGCTTCGCGATCGCAAACCGGTCTAAACTTATTATTAATTATTTCTAAGTAAAAAAGAGAGGAAAAAAAACTATAGCAGGAAATCAAAATGAACCTTGCAGAAATATCTGATAAGAAAAATACCAAGTTAAAGGAGATTATTTCTTACCTGAACGATTTGATCTCTGTGAAGAAATTTTCAACGGAGTTTTGAAGTGTTCTCCAGTGGTTGGATTTAAATGCAGAGGACTATCAAATATATAGGGTGGCCGATAGAAACAAAAAAACCATAAGACAACAACAACAACAACAACAAAAATAGAATAGAACAAACCCAAAACAGAAACACATAGTCAAAACGGAAACCCAAAACAGAAAAAACACTACCAGGAAACAGAAACAGAAATCCCAGAACGGAAATAAGCATCCCCAACAGGAAACACACTCAAAAAAATACAAACTTAAACCGCAAAACTGAAACCGAATCAAAATACAAACCATGGCCACAAAAGACGAAAACAGAAACAAGGAAATAGTGTAAAGCTATACAGTTTTTCATGTTTCATCGTTTTTTTTTGTTTTTTTTTTAGGGAGAGCTATCCTCGGAGACCCAGGGGCATTCAGTCGGGTCGGCAGAAAGCTAAGGGCGCGACGAAAGTTTTCAAGTACGGGCAAAAGAGCCCCTGGGTACCGACTCTCACCGAACTATTTCCAAAAATTCAAGCGGATGCCGGCTCCTGATTGGGCACAAAAAATGCTTTGTACTATTGTGCCCAATCACGGCGAACAGTTTCTCCTGAGTTTTTTTTGTGAGTTCGTACACGACGGCTATTGTTTCGATCACGGATTGTCTGGCTCACCAACGAAATGCACGCAGTCAGGAAACTTTCAGTTTGATATAAAATCCCCATCTGATTTCAAAATACTGTCTGCCCGAAAACTAAAGACGCCTTTCCAAAAATACAGGCCTGAGCTTACAACAGGTATTCACGCTTGCATCGGTCACGTCTTGTGTAAATATTAGGGAGTTTTTAAAAGATACCACGACAGCTGCCAACCACGAAAACGTCGCATGGAAAAGGGAATTCACATTTTTTCAGTTTCTATCGTGATTATTCCAACTTAATTACTTTGTCAAATACAAGCGAACTCATCTGGAAATTAATTTCTATCAACCATATCCAACTGAGTTCATGAAGAAAATTGATTTTGTCATTGCTTGTTTACGTCCTTCACAAAACATGAAGTTAGGCATTTTCACGGGTAGTCGTGCGGTTGACCGCCAAGAAATGTACAAAAAGTGTGATGCATGTGTAAAGTTGTTGTTTTGCCTAGTCAAGCTATTGTTTATTTGACTTTCTCGTCGCGGCCGCATCTTTAACTTGCTATTATTTACGATACATTGTGATGAGTCAAAACCAGAATATTCAGAATATTCACGGGTAGTCGTGCGGTTGACCGCCAAGAAATGTACAAAAAGTGTGATGCATGTGTAAAGTTGTTGTTTTGCCTAGTCAAGCTATTGTTTATTTGACTTTCTCGTCGCCGCCGCATCTTTAACTTGCTATTATTTACGATACATTGTGATGAGTCAAAACCAGAATATTCAGAATATTCACGGGTAGTCGTGCGGTTGACCGCCAAGAAATGTACAAAAAAGTGTGATGCACGTGCAAAGTTGTTGTTTTTGCCTTGTCAAGCTATTATTTATTTGATTTTCTCGTCGCGGCCGCATCTTTA